AGGTGCATGACGCTTGCATCTTTAGGAACTCTGGGCTGTTCGAGCAGCTGTGAGAAGGGACTTACTTCCCAGACCAGAAAATTACCATTGGGGATGTTGAAATGCCAATAGTTATCCTTGGGGACCCAGGCTACTCCTTGTTCCCATGGCTCACGAAACCGTACACAGCCAGCCTGGACAGTAGTAAGGAGCATAGAATCCTAGAATACCAGGGTTGGAAGGGACCTCAGGAGGTCATCTAGTCCAACCCCCTGCTCAAAGCAGGACCAATCCCCAATTAAATCATCCCAGCCAGGGCTTTGTCAAGCCTGACCTTAACTTCTAAGGAAGGAGATTCTACCACCTCCCTAGGTAACGCATTCCAGTGTTTCACCACTCTCCTAGTGAAAAAGTTTTTCCTAATATCCAACCTAAACCTCCCCCACTGCAACTTGAGACCATTACTCCTTGTCCTGTCCTCTTCTACCACTGAGAATAGTCTAGAACCATCCTCTCTGGAACCACCTCTCAGGTAGTTGAAAGCAGCTATCAAATCCCCCCTCATTCTTCTCTTCTGCAGACTAAACAATCCCAGTTCCCTCAGCCTCTCCTCATAACTCATGTGTTCCAGACCCCTAATCATTTTTGTTGCCCTTCGCTGGACTCTCTCCAATTTATCCACATCCTTCTTGTAGTGTGGGGCCCAAAACTGGACACAGTACTCCAGATGAGGCCTCACCAATGTCGAATAGAGGGGAATGATCACGTCCCTCGATCTGCTGGCAATGTCCCTACTTATACATCCCAAAATGCCATTGGCCTTCTTGGCAACAAGGGCACACTGCTGACTCATATCCAGCTTCTCGTCCACTGTCACCCCTAGGTCCTTTTCCGCAGAACTGCTGCCTAGCCATTCGGTCCCTAGTCTGTAGCTGTGCATTGGGTTCTTCCGTCCTAAGTGCAGGACTCTGCACTTATCCTTATTGAACCTCATCAGATTTCTTTTGGCCCAATCCTCCAATTTGTCTAGGTCCTTCTGTATCCTATCCCTCCCCTCCAGCATATCTACCACTCCTTCCAGTTTAGTATCATCCGCAAATTTGCTGAGAGTGCAATCCACACCATCCTCCAGATCATTTATGAAGATATTGAACAAAACCGGCCCCAGGACCGACCCTTGGGGCACTCCACTTGACACCGGCTGCCAACTAGACATGGAGCCATTGATCACTACCCGTTGAGCCCAACAATCTAGCCAACTTTCTACCCACCTTATAGTGCATTCATCCAGCCCATACTTCCTTAACTTGCTGACAAGAATACTGTGGGAGACCGTGTCAAAAGCTTTGCTAAAGTCAAGAAACAATACATCCACTGCTTTCCCTTCATCCACAGAACCAGTAATCTCATCATAGAAGGCGATTAGATTAGTCAGGCATGACCTTCCCTTGGTGAATCCATGCTGACTGTTCCTGATCACTTTCCTCTCATGTAAGTGCTTCAGGATTGATTCTTTGAGGACCTACTCCATGATTTTTCCGGGGACTGAGGTGAGGCTGACTGGCCTGTAGTTCCCAGGATCCTCCTTCTTCCCTTTTTTAAAGATTGGCACTACATTAGCCTTTTTCCAGTCATCCGGGACTTCCCCCGTTCGCCACGAGTTTTCAAAGATAATGGCCAATGGCTTTGCAATCACAGCCGCCAATTCCTTTAGCACTCTCGGATGCAACTCGTCCGGCTCCATGGACTTGTGCATGTCCAGCTTTTCTAAATAGTCCCTAACCACCTCTTTCTCCACAGAGGGCTGGCCATCTATTCCCCATGTTGTAATGCCCAGCGCAGCAGTCTGGGAGCTGACCTTGTTAGTGAAGACAGAGGCAAAAAAAGCATTGAGTACATTAGCTTTTTCCACATCCTCTGTCACTAGGTTGCCTCGCTCATTCAACTATAGGCTGAGCAAGTGCAGAATGGTGGTAGAATGTGCCTTTGGACGTTTAAAAGCTCGCTGGAGCTGTTTGCTGACTAGGTCAGACTTCAGCGCAACCAACATTCCCATTATTATTGCTGCTTGCTGTGTGTTCCATAATATCTGTGAGAGTAAGGGGGAGACGTTTATGGTGGGGTGGGAGGTTGAGGCAAATCGCCTGGCATCCGATTTTGAGCAGCCAGACACCAGGGCGATTAGAAGAGCACAGCAAGGCGTGCTGCAGATCAGAGAGGCTTTGAAAACCAGTTTCATGACTGACCAGGCTTCAGTGTGACAGTTGTGTGTATTTCTGCTTGATGCAAACCAACTCCCTTTGTTAATTTTAATTTCCTGTAAACCAACCACCCTCCCTGCTTCGAAATAAAGTAACTATTGTTTTAAAACCATGCATTCATTCTTTATTAATTAAAAAAAAAGGGAGATAACTGACAAGGTAGCCTGGATGGGGTGGGGTGGGGGAGGAGGGAAGGATAAGGCCACATTGCTTATTGTAGCCACACTATAAATCGGACTGTTTGAATGACAGCCTTCTGTTGCTTGGGCCATCCTCTGGAGTGGAGTGGCTGGGTACCTGGAGCCTCCCCCCACCACGTTCTTGGGCATCTGGGTGAGGAGGATATGGAACTTGGGGAGGAGGTCAGGCGGTTGTACAATGGATGTAGTGGGGGTCTGTGCTCTTGTTGACTTTCCTAAGCTGCACCAGATGCTTCATCATGTCCGTTGTTCCCCCATTAGCCTTAGCATTGCCTCCTGCCTCTGTTCTTCGCGCTCACTTAATGCTTTCCTAGCCTCTATCACTGAATGCCTCCATGCATTCAGCTGTGCCCTATCAGTGCGGAAGGACTGCATAAGCTCGGAAAAGATGTCATCGCGAGTGAGTTTTTTTCACCTTCTAATCTGCGATAACTTCAGGGGCGGAGATGATAGGGGGAGCCTAGAAACAGTTGTACCTGGGGGGAGGTAAAAAGGGAGAGTAAAATTTAAGATGATTCATTTCTGAGAACAAAAGGGAGACTCTTTCACAGTGAATCAAGCAATTCGCAGCAGACAGCACATGTGCTTTAGGTACAAGGTCGCATTTTGCCTTTTATATTGAGCGCCTGCCGATATGGTGACATCACAAACAGCTGGGCAACAGAAAAGTTTCCATGCAGCCACGGTAAGTCAAAGGGTACGCGGGGTTGGCTTCTTACACATAACAGGTGGGAATGGTTTCAAACTGCAGTGCCATCCTTTCCCGTGGCAAGCAATGGGTTGGGTTTCACATTTAAAAGAAGGGGCTGCGGTTTTCAGGCAGATGTGCAGCACACACCTACCCGCACCCCACCGCGTGGCTATTCTCCGGGATGATCCCTTTTAACCAAGCGCAAATAGCCCAGCCTGAACGGGGTCCTTTTATTGTTCCCTTACAAAAATTCCCCTATTTCAGCCAGGTGACCATGAATGATATTCTCCTGACGCTAACACAGAAAGATATAGACCAAATGTTGCTTGAATGTGACCAAAACCCAGGACCATTCACTGCCATGCTTTGTGCTGCAATGATTCCAGAATATTTTCAGAGTACCTCCAGGAGAGCTTCATGGAGATGTCCCTGGAGGATTCCTGCTCCATTCCCAGACATGTGAACAGACTTTTCCAATAGCTGTACTGGCTGTGAATGCATCCCAATTCTTCAGGGCAAATCAAACGTTAAACACTATTGCTTTTAAACCCTGTACTGTAGTTACAAACGTGCACTCACCAGAGGTGCCTTCTCCAGCTTCAGGGTTGGGGATCCTGCCTTCGGAGGGCATTAGTTTCAGGGAGATGAAAAAGTCCTGGCTGCCAGGGAGAATGGATTCACCGCTTGCCTGCTGTGCATTCTCCTCCTCCTCTTCCTCATCCACAAAATCCTCCTCCCTGTTGCGTGAGACTCCCCCCTTGCAGGTGTCCACAGACAGTGGTGGGGTGGTGGTAGGGTCCCCTCCTATAATGGCATGCAGCTGATCATAGAAGCGGCACGTATGGGGCTCTGACCCAGAGCAACTGTTTGCCTCCTTTGTCTTTTGGTACGCTTGCCTCAGCTCCTTAACTTTCATGCGGCACTGCTGTGTCCCCCTGTTGTAGCCTCTCTCCAATATGCCCTGTAAGATTTTGGCAAATATATTTGCATTTCTTCTTTTTGATTGGAGTTCTGCCTGCACAGATGCTTCTCCCCATACAGCAATCAGATCCAGTGTCTCCCTTTTGGTCCATGCTGCAGCTTATTTGCAATTCTGGGGGGAGTGTATGGTCACCTGTGCTGCTGAGTTTGCCACGCTGACCAAACAGGAAATGAAATTCAAAAGTTCCCGGGGCTTTTCCTGTGTACCTGGCTAGTGCATCGGAATTCGAAGTGCTGTCCAGAGCGGTCACAACTGTCGATTTGCGTCCGCACTACCCCAAATTTGACCCAGCAAGGTCGATTTTCGTGCTTCTCCCCTTCCCGGGGAGAAGTACAGAAGTTGATTTTAAGAGCCCTTTAAATCGACGGAATGGGGTTGGTTGTATGGACGCATTCATTTTAAAATACACCTAACACAGCTAAATTCAACCAAACCCTGTTGTGTAGACTAGGCCTTAGTCTTCTAAATTTTATCTTGCATAAATTAATTCTCTTATATTTTCTAAATTCCCTGTAATAATTCCCATGTTAATTGTGTAAGTGACAGAAACGTCGTTTTCTCTCATCCTCATCCCTTGGAAGCATATTAAAGAAAGAGTGGAACATAGGGCCATCTAAAGGAAGAGTCCAGATGGATTTTTTTAAAACTTCTGAATGGTTTTTGCTCTACATTAATCCGTGTTTATTTATATATATATAAAAACACTAGTTGCAGGGTGAAGTCTTCAAAGTCAGAAAAGAAAAAAAGTTATATGCATACAGTCTAATGATATAATCACAAACTATTTCTATGGGACCCCTATCTCCTTCAGTGTACAATCTGGACAGGAATGATGGAGGAAGTTATAGCTCACTCATTAACAACATTGATAAGAATCAATTTAGTACCTTTTATAGCCTCTTCAAAAGAACAAGGCTGTGCTGGGCTGGAGATTTCTTTCTTCACATTAATATTCAGAGTACCAGCTGTTGAGACAAAAGACATTGCTGAATGTCAGGTATGTTGAAAGCATTGTCACAAGAAATGGCAACTTACTTTACAGTAACTGTGGTTCTTCAAGAGGTTTTACCCATATATATTCCACTTTTGGTGTGCATGTTCCCAATGCACTTGAGTTCAGATTCTTTTGGCCACTGATGTCCATTGCAGGCCATACTGGCACTTTGCGTGTCTTACTGCCTCTAACTGAGGGCATAAAGGGCAGGCTACCCCAATCACCTCTCCATTCCTTCACCAATATAGAACCCATATCTCTTCTGTCTCCTTGGTAGCACGGAAAGAGGGCAGGTTGTGGAATAGATATGGACAACACATCTCAAAGAGCCAAAGTTACTGTTCGGTAAATAATTGTTTCTTCTTTGAGTGCTTGTCCATATATATTCCACTATTGGAGACTCAATCAATAACCTAGATGACAAAGGAGGTGGGTGCGAAGAATCTACCTAAAAAAATTATTTCAAGAAAGCCCTACCAAAATGAGCCTCAGATCTTGACGCTTCCACTGTGTAGTTATGCTGGATAAACATATGCATCAAACACCACACAGCTTCCCTACATGTGTCTCTAATTTTTCTCTACCCCATCCTGATTGTGCCTCACACTCCCCCTCACCATGTCTCTCTCTCTCTCTCTCTAAGACCAGGTGCCCTCTTTTAAACATCAGCTGGGGTGAATGGACCAGTCACAGGTGCACTGGCCCTGCTCTCACTTAAAGTGTCAAAGTCACCCTGTGACATACCCTCATAAGACTTTTAAAAAAAATGTAGCAACTGTATGGTGTGAAAAATGTGAAATACACATGAACTGATGAGCAGAAAGTTGAGATGCATACTAGGATCTGTCCATCTCTGAGATACCACATCTGGCTGGGGAGGCAACTGCACTGGAAGTTGGATGGAGATATTCTTCTGGTCTGAGAACCAGAATTGCCTCAGCGATGCCTGAACTACCATGACTATTCTGGCTCAATCCTGCCTGAGCTTCACGAAAACTCTTGGGATCAACAGAATTGGAGGGTAAGCATACATCCGTTCCGGAGAGCAGGGGATCAGAAATGCATCAGACAGGTATGCCAGACTTGGTCCTCCTCTGGAGCAGAGCTTTTGACACTTCGTTTTCTTTGGTGGCAAAGAGGTCTACGACTGGGTGACTCCACTTGATGAATGTCTTGGATTTTAGTGTCCTTCACTGACCATTCATGGTCACTTGCAAATAGTCTGCTGAGATCTGCCAGCATATTCTGTAATCCTGATAAGTATTTCTGTCAGACTCATACAGAAGTTCCACAGATGTACAGATTCATGACAAAGAATCTGCTCCCCTTTGTTTGCTTATATAAAACATTACTGAAGTGTTGTCTGTTAGGAATTGACTTATTCAGCCTTTTAGAACTTAAATCGTGCGTGCCTGATGAATGGCGCTTAGCTACAAGATATTTATGTGAAGCCACGCTTCCTGAGGAGTCCATATGCCCCATGTCTGAAGATTGTCGTAAGTGGACTTCCCATCCCAATGTGAAGGCATCTATCACCAATGTCTTTGATGGTAATTGTGGAGAGGACACTTGCAAACTTTGAGAGTCTTTCCACCAGCTTAATGACAAGAGGATTTCTGGGGGAACGTGCACTGACATATCCAAAACTGCTTGTCGGATATTCAGACTTCAACCACCCTTGTATGCAAAGGTGGTGAAGTCTGGCAGGCTCACCTATGTACGCGTAGGAGGTTTTGTGTCCCAAAAGTCAGAAAAATTTTTACACTGGTTTTGCGATTAATTTGTAGGTGGGCGGATAGATCTACCATAGCTTGGAATCCTTGTTGGAACAAATGGGCCATTGCTGGAGTCCAAAACCACACCTATAACTTATCTTTTGAGTAGGAGTTCGTACTGACTTCTCTGATTACTTAGTCTCAGGAAGGCAAGGAGTTGCAAAGTCAGTTACCTGTTGATACGACTTCCTGCAAATGAGCCAGTCATGTAAACAGGGATGAATCTGAACTCCTTGTTTCTTGACGTAAGCTAGATATTTCATGAATACTCTCCGTGCTGTCAATAGGCTGAATAGTAGCAGCCTGTATTGGTAGTGGGACTTCATTCATCATACATGTAGGAAGTGCTATAGGTAAATAAGCAACCTGAAGGTTGAGAGCTGCATACAAAGTTGCGTAGATCTAGGGTTGGAATAAATAAAGCCAGAACTACCATCCTGAATTTAAGCTTGCAAATGAAGGGGTTCAGTTGTCTCAGATCTAGAATAGGGCACCAGCCCATTTCTTTTGGGGAATCAAAGTCATGAAAGCAAAATCCCTTCCCCCTGTGTTTTAGAGGAAATTCTTCAACTTCTCTAAGATTGAGAAGTGATTGTACCTCACAATGTGACATGTTCGCATGAGGGGGTCCCTGAAAAGAATGGGGAAGGTGTGTGTGTGTGAGGTTAGGGAGGATCTGTAACTGAATGGAATAGCCTCCCTATAGGATTTCCAGGATCCAATCGTCCATAGCGATGATGCTCCAGAGCTAAATTCCCTCTAAGCTGCATGGCTGCGCAGCAGGCTATCAAGGGCTGCGCAGACAAGGAGAGGCGCCTCTCCCCCAGCCCCAGTGCTGCCAAGGCCAGAGAGAGGCGCATCTCCCCCGACCCCGGGCTGCTGTGGTGAGAGAGGGCTGGGGGGAGTCTTCTCTCTCTGCCACAGCCCTGGGGCAGCCTGCACCCCAAACCCGCAATCCCTGGCCCCACCCCAGAGCCCTCACCTCCTACATCTCAACTCTCTGGCCCTGAGCCCCCTCCCAGAACCCAAACCCTTCATCCCCAGCCCTCACCCCCCATACTCCAAACCTCTGCCCCGGCCCTGAATCCCCTCCCACACTCTGAACCCGTGGGCCCCACCCCAGCCACGCACCACCTCCATATTGGTTCAGATAACAAAATTAATTCTGTACATGGATGTAAAATATTAGAGGGTACATTGCTCCAGACCACAAGAAAATGAAATATATGATTCCTAAAATGAAGGGAACAAACAGGAAAAGCCAACAGAATTTGTACGTTACTCCTGACCAAAAGTCAAATCTACTGCTTTAATGATGATGAATGCTGTAGCACAGACATGGTACTGCATGCAGATGACTTCCTCATGTGGAATTTTTCATGCTTTCCAAGTGATTCAGGTTGCCTAAATTGGGTATAGAATGATTTCCTTTACTGTTGTTGAGGCTCATAGAGCTTCCACTTTGATGCAGCAGTATGGACTCCTAAAGAACTCAACGTGGCCAGAAAGTCCTTCAGACAGTGAGAAGTTTTGTCTATTTTCATACTGAAAGGTTCACATCCCTCAAATGGAAGAGCCTCAGTTTTAACTCTTTATGGGTCACTGATGACTGGAGTACATCTCCTAATAGCAACTGAGGTAGTCATGGATCTAAAAGCCATATCCACAGTACCAAGAGCTGCCTGGAGGAATATACACACCAAAAGTTGACCTTTGGCTATCAAGGACTTAAACTACTCTTATCTTGGGGAAGCTTGTCTGCAAATTTGAGTATGGAATCCCAATTCAAATAACCATACTTCATCAACAGGGCCTGGTAATTGGTGATTCTCATCTGGGGACTGTACATAGGATACATTTTCCAGGCAAATATATCTAATTTCTTGGGTTCCTTGTCTCTTGGTGTTGCTTTCTCTTGATTTTGTCTCAACCTCTCATTCACTGCTGTAATAACCAATAACACTGGTGTGAAATGTCTATAAAATTGCTCAAAGCCCTGGGAAGGCACTTGAGCAACAATCTGTTCTTTTTGATGTTGGTGTCAAATAAGCAGGTATCTGCCAGAGCAATTTGGCTGGCTATAGAAGTCCCTTGTTGATGGGCATTGCAAGATGTCAGGATTGTGTATGATTTTTCCTGGACCACCTCAGCTGGAATTTCCAATGTGCCAGGCATTCTGCGCTGCAAGTCCTGGAATGTCTTGAAAGTCATCTGGGGTTGAGGTAGATGATGAAGATACCACAGACGGATGATGATGAGGATGAGAGGGGAGCCAGGATAGGGTAGTCCTCTACTTGTAACTCCTCATCAGAGCCTTGAGCAGACTGTTCAGCTGGCAGAGGAGCAGAACAGGCTGGTTGTAACCCCTGCCACCCCAAGAGATGATGGTAAAGGGGATCTAGCCCTGGATTGGGATGGATGCAGACAATGGTGTTCTACAGTGATGTATCCCTCATGGAGCCCAATAGAACCAAGGATAGTGGTATGCACAAGGAGCAGATGGCTGGGGAGAAAAGGAGAGCTACCACGGAGTACTATCTTTCCTAGAAGAATAAGGAGTACTTTTGGCACTTTAGAGACTAACGAATTTATTTGAGCATAAGCTTTTGTGGGCTAAAACCCACTTCATCAGATGCATGCAGTGGAAAATACAGTAGGAAGACACACACACACAGAACATGAAAAGATGGGGGTTGCCATACCAACTCTAACAAGACAAATCAATTAAGGTGGGCTATTATCAGCAGGAGAAAAAAAAACTTTTGTAGTGATAATCAGGATGGCCCATTTCAAACAGTTGACAAGAAGGTGAGAGTAACAGTAGGGGGGAAAATTAGCATGGGGAAATAGTTTTTAGTTTGTGTAATGACCCATCCACTCCCAGTCTTTATTCAAGCCTAATTTGATGGTGTCCAGTTTGCAAATTAATTCCAGTTCTGCAGTTTCTCGTTGGAGTCTGTTTTTGAAGTTTTTTTGTTGAAAAATTGCCACTTTTAGGTCTGTAATTGAGTGTCCAGGGAGGCTGAAGTGTTCTCTGACTGGTTTTTGAATGTTCTAATTCTTGATGTCTGATTTGTGTCCATTTATTCTTCTGCACAGAGACTGTCCGGTTTGGCCAATGTACGTGGCAGAGGGGCACTGTTGGCACAGTAATCTGGAAAGGTTGAGAGCCACTAGTCTAGGGTAATGAAACTCCCTCTTAGATGCATACTGACCGGAATACCTAGACTCCATGGCACACACTAGTGAAACCTCCCTTTTGCCACATCACTGTAGTGCTCATGGCATAGACATGTCTCAACACTAATTAGCAACTAACTGCTATGTACCTATCTTTTTACAGCCATGTACAAACAATGGGTAAACTGCACAGTGAGTGAAGCAGCTCAGACATCACACGGCTTCCTGGCACGGGAGAAGAAACTGCGGCAGCTGGAGTCACTGTGCCCTTTATGCCCTCAGTTGGAGGTAAGAGGACACACAGGGTGCAGATGCGGCCCCCAGCAAATACTGCTGGCCAAAAGAATACGAACTTCAGTGCACTAAACAAGGGTATATGGGCGTAAATTGCAGCAAAGGCAGTGTAGGTTGAACATTAGGAAAAATGTCCTAACTGTCAGGGTGGTTAAGCTCTGTAATAAATTACCTATGTAGATTATGGAATCTCTATCAGTTGAGATTTTTAAAAGCAGAGGTTAGATAAAACACCTGTCAGGGAGGGTCTAGACAATACTCAGTCCTTCCATAAGTGCAGTAGCCAGTCCTATGATTCTATGTGTACAGGCGCTCAAAAAAGAACCCATACAAAATACACAACACACATTAGTTACATATTTCCAGGTCAAATAGGTCCTCATAAAATACATCAGTTTAACAATCATTCAGTAATTCACTTCTATCACTGGAGGCCAGAAAACCATCAGGATAAATTCAGGAGAAAAATGTTCACTTACATCTCCTGACAAGATTACATCTTCTAATACAGATACCAAAGTAAGTAAGTGAAAAATAAGGGAAAAAAGTCTTTGAGTCATGCAAATGCTCCTGGAACCCTCTCCCCCATAATAAAAACAGATGGTGTACCATGAATACCAGTATGATATTGGTAAACACATTTTACAACACACATATGAAATACAGTTTTTGTGGAGCTGAATACAGATATTCTATGAATGCACCATCTCCGAACAGAAGACTCCCTTTGGGTCACTGGGCCAAAGACCTGAATGCTAGGCTGTACCCCACAAGCTCATTATAAACTTTGTGTGATCATTAATATTTTACCAAAATTACTTTAGACATTCAATATAGGGAATAAACTTCTAGCTCTCTTCTCTCACAAGCAGATGATGTAAAGCTATCTGTCCATTCTACTGACAGCCATGTTGTATACAAGTAACCATAGGTAGACCATGCATTGGGATTTTCAAAAGGAGCCTAAGGGAGTCAAGTGTCGAACTCCCCTGAGTTTTATTTAGAGTATCTCAGCCTACGGACTACAAATAGCTGCACTGAAGGTTTTCACCATCGCAAAGCTTTTATGTCTTTTTAACAGGTTTACAGTATATAATCTCTCAGGCATTTGCAATTAATGTATAACTCCAATATCTAGCTGCCGCTTTCAACATTTCTCTAATCTTAATGTTTCAGGTAGACCATATTCATGAGAGTTCTCCTTGAATTCCTTTGCTCTGCAGAAATAGCAATGAGAGATATAGGACAACAAGACATCAGGTTCTTATTATATTCTCATTTTGGAGCATGGAGAATGACACACAAAAGTCCTTATGTATCAAGGTAAGAGTACATCCATAGTGATGACCTGTTATTGAATCTATTACATCTTTCCTTGCCCCCACCCTGATAGACAGAAAACAGAAGATGAGACTCACACAGCTGATCAAATATATATAGCACTAAAATGAAGAGCTGTAGGTTTAGTATTTAAAATAATCATTAACTAGCATTTCAGAGGAATTTTGTATCTAAAGACTATGTTACAAGCCTGGGAATACCAACAGACAAATGAGCCCCATATTCACTCCTTATGCAGGCACAATTTTCTGTGCACACACCTGTGTGAACCCTGTTATGGTAGCAATTTTCTGTCCATTGCAAAATTTGTCCAAATGGAATTTGCACATTAAAATTCTACCACCAGCATGCAGTTATTACTGCACTGAGTACATGCAACATGTGGGAAGTGCAGTTGAAGCCTCACTGAAAAAGAGATCCAATATGTGTAAGTCTGGGAATGAGGCCAAGTTTATACTACCAGCTGGATTGGCGGGTAGTGATAGATCTTTCGGGGATCGATGTATCGCATCTAGTGTAGACACGATAAATCGATCCCAAATCGCTCTGCTGTCGACTCCGGAACTCCACCACGGCGAGAGGCGGAAGCGGAGTCAACGGGGGAGCAGTGATCCCGCGCCGCAAGGACGCGAAGTAGGTGATTCTAAGTTGATCTAAGATACGTCAACTTCAGCTACGCTATTCTCGTAGCTGAAGTTGTGTATCTTAGATTGATCTCCCCCTCCCTCCTAGTGTAGACGAGGCCTAAGAGAAATTGTTACTATACCTCTCTAGAGGTACTTCCTTACAGTCACAGGCTCGTACAGTGGTGCTAACAGAGCCTGCACAACTCTTCCGTTCATCCTTTGTTTTATGCTGACTGTGCTTCTGCTCTATGTATTCAACTGCAGCTATGCAGAACTTTTCATTGCCCTTTTTGCCATTACATAGGAGATCCCCTTGCCTGACAGCTTGACCTCCCCGCATAAACAGAAGTAAATAAAATCACATCCCCTATGAGTACTATTAAGTTGCGTATCTTATCTCTGCAGTGTAAGAGCCTCACAATGTATCGGTCATATTAGTGAATTATGGGGCATCAGTCACATAAAACAAATTTACATCTTATTCCCAGCCTAAGATAGTCAATATAGTTTTCAAGTTAAAAATAAAAAAAGAATTAGCAGTGTACTTGTAAAGTTTCATTTTCATTTCTAAATTGAACAAGCAAGCTGGTTACTGTATTAGAGATTGTGGCATCAAAAAACAGAATATATTTGTATGATTTGCACCCTTGGGTCTTTCTACACAGAATGCTTGGTGCTATTTATTTTGCTATATCTTCCACTGCAAACACCTGTACTTTCACTTGCCCTACAGCTTGGGTTCTTCCTTGTTTGAACTTATATAAACCTGAAATTGATACTACTATGTGAAAGCAGCAGCCTGTATCTGGCTGGGATTCCCTTGCTACATACCGTAACAAGGATGGAAGTTAACCCTTCAGACCTCATTTCTTGACAGAGCGGATTTTGCTAACAAGAGGCGCTCCCAGAATATTAATATTTCCGACGTTGATATAACAAGTAACTAGAGAAATGTTGATAACCTGCAATATCAAAGTTTACTGGGACTGAAGAAAAACATTTTGATAGTTGGTGAAATATTACACAGTCTACGAGAAAACAAAAGCCTTATATTTTATTTTAGAGCAGTGAGGAAACATTTGCTCCCTAATTCTTCCTCAAGCCCCTTTCCCTCTACAGTTGCCTGTCCACCATGTGTAGTGTCTCCTCATCCTTTGCAAGCCTTTTCACCACAACTAATACAATTGCGATTTGACTTCATTCTGTGTTTAGCCTCCTGTTCAGAGATGAATTTTAGGACTCAGGATCCAGGGTGTAGACAGCTGAGCTAACTATTTGCTTTCATGACATCTCTAAGGGTGGCTCTTCCAGTACTCGAAAGTACACATCCCCGTCTTTATTGCAATCATGAGTGTTACTGTCCCTCCCTATATTAGGGTCTGGGGCACAGAAGAGTCCTCAGCTGAGGGAAGGAACCAGGAGCCTTTCAAAGTGCTTTGGCCAGTAGAGGAACTGTCATGCTGGTGACTCAAAACATTCTTCCTAGAATACCTTGAAATTTCAGAAGGTTGTTTAAGCACCCATAGGTACCACTTTATCAAAGAAGAAATGTCATTGTAATGGTATATTATTGCTGAGCACGTATGTTTGTTGAAAAGCCTATTACCCAACTTCACACAGCTGCTACCCTTGTTAGCCCCTTTCTCTCTGCTTCAATATTCAGAAATTAAAATCAGAAAAGACCTTGCAGGCAATTTTGTCCATTCCCATCCCTCATTTCTTCACTTTACGTACATGTATCTGGAGTGTATGTAAATGACTGCACATCATGTGATCTTCCAGCATTGGTCACCACATATATCCCCACAGAAACAGAAGAGGTTATTTTCTGGTCATGATATGGTGGCACCGTCACAATAAGATGATTCTGTATTGCCGAGAGAGAGAGAGAGTTCATATTAGAAAGATTTCTTCATTATTTTAATTGCAATTTAAAAGGTAACTATTATCCATACAAAGAAAGCCAAATCAAATTAAAAAATGGACTAGCACAAACCCTAACAAATACATTCTAGTAAAACAAAACCTGTAAGAAGTGCGGAGTAGACTGGGGGAAGGTGGTGAAGCTGTGCTTCTTTTAAAAGAAATGGACAACCATGTTGAGCTGAAAAGGGCACTGGAATGTTCTGCCTATACAGAGCTTATTTGTAACATATAGTGTAAATGGGGAGGGCGGGGCGGGGGGGGGGGAGAAGAGTGGGAAAGACATACACATACCCTTGAACTCCGGCCCTGATTCAGCAAAGCACTTACGTATGTGCTTAACTTTAAAACATTTGCTTAAATACCACTGAAATCAAAGAGAATTAAGTACATGTTTAAGTACTTTGTTGAATAGGGCCTCTGTACTCAATATGAGCAGAGAGGTTCAGGTTCCGGCATCTCAGGCAAAGAGAACCTGAGTACAAGAGTCCAGTACATCTCCTGAATTCAAGATATTTACTATTTCATATGTAGTGGCAAGTTATGTAAACACAGAAGATATGAAAAAGATAAAAGGACATCCACTTTGAAAGACAAGACAAGGGGCAGAAGAGTCAAAGGGCTGCTTAATTCTGTTCTGCAGAATTCACTTGTACTTTCCTCTAGTCCCTTTTATTCTGCAGCATTACAAGAGTTTTACGGTAATTTTTGCATGGAAGGTTTCAGTCATTTCTATCACCTACCCTTTAAAGATAATGTATTACGCATTGGGCTATGTGAATGCAGCAAAAAAGTCCCTGTAAATAAAGCCTCCCAGTTCAGTTCCCTAGTATTTGAAATTCTTTTTATTCAAGGACATTTGAATGAGTATTTGCAAGAATGTTCACAGAAAGCAAAAGTGTCACAAATAAATATTCGCTGGAGTATTCACACCAGATGTGCTTTTGCAGCCATTTGGAAAAGCTCTTTTAATTCGCACAAAAAATTCAAACAATTACAGACAACAAAGAAATGTGTAAACATCTCAACTTATTTGCAAATAGTTCATGAACAAAAAAGTACTGCTGTTAAATACATAGGGTAGACCTATGTATTTAACATATGACATAGGTCAGACCTATGAATAGCAAACAGACATCAGCAGATGCAATCATGAACAATCCACAGAACAACTTTTGTTCCCAAACTATCTGTCCAACCATTAGAAATAAGAAACTGGTAAAAACTGTGTTTGTGGGCAATTTACCAACAGAAAAAAATGACCAGCTCCAGTCAGCACTGTTTGCAATATGAATTCAGCCTACAAGCCACCTAACTGTGTGCAAAGATTAAGTCAGTTACTGGGGAACGTGTCACTAAACAAGGAAAAATTTAGCCAGACACAAAGAGCACAGAGAAAATACAGTGCTTTTCCTCCACTGATAACACAATAACTCCACAGGTGAAAGTCATGGGCAAAATTTTAGATCCTTCCTTTTAACTATGTTATATGTACTATAACCTTTTACCAACTATTACATAAGGATTCTCCTTCACTGGCTTAACTGTGAAGTTCCACTCTGAGAAGAGAGTATAGCGAAGTAGCACCATTTTACTCACATATAGGTTCCCTGTATTTTCTGCTTATTATTTGTGTGTTAACACAGAAAACCTGTTCTACGAGCTGTGCAAGTTATTTCTGTTCGCCTTGCACAGCCAGCAAGAGCAGATTTCGAGTCATTACACATTTTCATGCATTGTTTACTAAGTTCCCCTTCTATTTAGTGTTTTATACCACATAGCCATCATTGTGGTATCTAAGTGTCCAATTACAAAACCAACTTACATTTATGCAAACCCACTAACAACAATGGGGTTGCTTTGGTGTCACTAAGGGCATAATTTGGTGGCTGTAACCTTTAGTCTCCTTATAACACACCATAAAGGAAGATATTCAGTTCCACTTTCAGATCCTAGATTAATTGCCAGTGCCACAAACTCGGAGGGGGGGGGGAACCCACTTAATTTTACTTGCAAATGTAGCCTGATCTGGAGTCAATAAGAGAAATAACTTGCACGTTCACAATGCTATTTTCATTGTCAATTTTCAGACAAGAACTATACCTTAAATTCTGTTTTTGACATCAGTTTGTTTAAAATTTCAAAGACGTCATTCCATAACATTTCTTTAGATTGCTAGGGATAATAAATAATATTCTTTCCTTCTAAAACCAGTTTAGAAATCCCCTACAGCCAAGTCTGAATAAAACAACACTTGCATTCTAAGTGGGTTTACACATCACACAGTGGGGCCTTCTGCAAATCACCCCTTAGCTTTCACCTCAGTGAGCCTTTAGTTAGGTTTTTATATAGTAGCTTCTTCATTTATTCTATTTGAGGGTGTGTGTAGGGCTGTGTGCTTTATTGTAAAACTGAACACACCTAGAGCCATAGGTAGTCCCGTTTTACAGAAATGGAAATAGATTTTAAAAAGACTAGTAGGATAGGGAACCAAGTGAGGAATATAACATCCATGGGAAAGGGATATGGAATACCTCGTAGAAATATCCTTGGAAAGCAACAATCCCAATGAGAGCTTTTTTTTTTTTTTAAACACACACACTAGTTGGGGTGGAAAGGAACTCCCACCAAAGAAGAGATTCTCTATATCATGGAGCTTTGCCTTCTTGCGCTCTCTCTCTCTCTGGGCTTAGTATTTTCCCTTTCTAAGGGGGGCAGCTAAGTTAAACATGTTTCTGTACCTTCTTTAGGCTGTTTTTCAATCTTAAAACTGACTATCTGCCTTACTACTTGTGAGTTGGCCAAGATATAACCAGATGCTCAATTTTGACAGACAGATGCTTTCTTTGTTAAAAAATTATTACTCCATTAAGTGCAAAAAGCTATGTTAAGGGAATATTAAAGTTGGAAGACTACATGGACAAAAAAGTCAAGTAGTAAGTAAAATAAGTTATGTAAAATTATAGATTGTGCATGTGATAAACACATTGTTTTTCCTTAATTTTTTTTATTTTTCCCTCAAAGTTAGCTAAGTATTATTCTTTACTTGTAGTGCTGACTGAAAATGGAATTTCAGAGTAGAATATTTTTCTTAACATTAACAATCAACACAAAACTATCATGCTTCCAGTATATAGTATGTGAAATCATACTAGACACAATTTCCTTAATTATATTCTTTGCATTGTATGTGTGAAGAGCAAGCCTTCCTGGTCTCTACTGGCCAAGACAATGAGAACAAAGCTAAGAATCAAGCTTTTGTCTTGAGTGATGATGCAGGAACATTTTCAGATATTTGTATTCAATGTATGAGTAAGTACCTGATGAAATAATTCCATGTCTATTTCAGCTTCTGCTTTCCAAGAGTTTTCATCTGATTGAAAGTAAAAAAAAAAAAAATATTATAACTTTTATTGCGCATTTATACAAAACTAAAATATTGTTTTGGTGTCTTCAATAGAGTTGCTATAGTATTTGATGCTTCATTAGCTCTTAAGAAGTGGAACAAAACCAAGTAGTAGGATTTTAAACCCAAACATGTCCTCCTTTCCTCCGCCCAAGCCCCTGTATTTTTCACACTGACCAGAAATATTCTCTTGGAAGATCACTTTTGTTCCCTTAAGAAAGTTCTTGCCAATCAGAAAGACTTCCTCTTCCCCCTTCACTGAACAGCTGTGCAGACTTTTCTTGAGGATCTCTGGCACACCAGCTGGTTGAGCTACAATTGGAAAGACGAGCAGTTTAAAATAGAAAGGAACACTAATACCTTTGACAAAAAGGTATTTTCTTTTACATAATTTCAAGCAAAGATCAAAATCATTCCAAACCTCTGCCTGTACTTACACAACAAATAACAGAAGTTAGCATGAAACTTAGAAACTATTTGTTTCCAATATTTCATTTCACATGGTAAAACAGTTATGACCTGTAAATTCTCCATTTGGGTGATATGTACCCCAAAATCACTAACAAATTATGCACATCCCTTTTCTCATGAAGAGGTGTGTCTATAACTCTCAGAGAGGAAATCATAGAATCATAGAAGCTTAGGGATGGAAGAGACCTCAGGAGGTCATCTAGTCCAATCTCCTGCTCAAAGCAGGAACAACCCCAACTAAATCATCCCAACCAGGGCTTTGTCAAGCTGGGCTTTAAAAACCTCTAAGGATGGAGATTCCACCACCTCCCTGGGTAACCCATTTCAGTGTTTCACCACCCTCCTAGTGAAATAGTTTTTCCTAAAATCCAAACTAGACCTCCCCCACTGCAACTTGAGACCATTGCTCCTTGTTCTGTCATCTGCTACCACTGAGAACAGCCTAGCTCCATCCTCTTTGAAGGCTGCTATCAAATCCCCCCTCACTCTTCTCTTCCAGAGACTAAACAAGCCCAGTTCCCTCAGCCTCTCCACATGTGCCCCAACCCCCTAATCATTTTCGTTGCCCTCTGGGTGAAGACGATTGCAAGGAATGGCACAAACTGAGATAGCTACAGTAATTAAGTGCAGGTGTCATGAGTGCAACCAGCGCAAACCATTAGTCTTACAGTAAAAGAGACAATATCAACTTATTTTTAATTGACTAGTTTTTAAAAATTCCACTTTCGGTTTAAAATTCCAGTATGGTCTGATTTAAATACAAACAAACATTAATATCTTTTGTAAGGCGCTTTCTGCTTCTCTAGTTATCAGCATCTCTTTAGCAAGAGAAAAACCGAGTAATTATCTGACCATATATGGAAGTATTTCATCTGATTATACAAAATGTGTCTCCAAATGCACAAAGTAAACAAATTGGAAAAAAAATTGTGCTATTCTAGTCAACTATAGGAGTCTTAAGTAAAGTGAGTACAACTTTTTCCATGCAAAAATATTATTTTCAAGTTGTTAATGTCCCTTTAAGGTCATAACAGTTATCTAATGATCCACTAATATATAAGCATGTTATTCATTTGGACATAAAGCAAAACTATTGCTGAAGCTGATCATCTATTTGTAGTTTAGAAGCAGCAAAAAGATTTTGCATTGCCTGAACTACAAAGGAGTAATCAAACAATATTGTTTTGATCTATGCAAGCAGATCCACAAGCAAATCTAAAAATCTACAGGCACAACTCAGAGACAGCCCAAAATAGCATGTTCAAGTCCAAAATAGCATGTTCAAGTTCAAGTTTTCTGTGACAAAGCTTACTAGTTCTGTGACACTGAAGCCATAGCAGATTTCAGTAAAACCTTATGACCTCCAGAGCTAAAACCTCATGACTTCCAGAGCTAAAAGTGTGAACTGCTAAAGCTTTGTAGCCAAGGGCTGCAACAACTCATATCCTCTGTGAATCAGCACAGAGGAGGACTCAAACACACACTCACCAATGAGTTACAATTACACAGGCCCTCAGTTCTCTGTGAATCAGAAGCCACTGGCAACATATATTAATGTACATATTAAATTTTGTCCTTGCTGTGATTTATTTCTATATTCTCAGACCATTTATCAGATAAGATTGTACCCTCATTAAATAAAAAATGGAGCGTCACCCGGGGCAGTGAATGTGCCTACTTGCGCGTGCCTTCTATAGTGCCAAGGACACTGCTGGCGCTATGACAGATATACCAGCAGCTTCCAGCTACCCAGCCCTACACAACTGAAGGACAACATTTTTAAGCTTTATATTAAGAAATGAAAGAACATACAAGTGCAGTAAAAGGTACACTGCAAACAAGTCACATTGTTAACATACCGGAAGAACAGGTTTATAAGCAAAAAGTAACTCAATATAAGTTATATGCCACTATTAATCCTGTATGTTCATTAGTGCTACTTGGTAGGCTAAAGGCTAAGAGTAGCAGTGCTTCTATTAAAGGGAAAGGGGAGAAAAACAGGAAAATGAAATTAGGTTACAGGCTTCATGCCAAAAACAAGGAAACGTTCTTCGTACTGAGTTTGTTTTTTCCATGGCATATCTGACCAATTATTTTGATGCACTTGTTTATAATACTACAGGTAAGTCTACAAAAGTCATTTTACATTGTATGTATGTAACTAAATTCGCATACAACTAGGTAATGGTAGACTTTAAATAGTTAATATATTGGCATTAATGTAACTAATCAAATCTTTCTCCCTTTTCCCTATATATTTTGTATAGTTAAGACAAACTTTTGTTTTCATACAACATTAAGTTTATTTGCCATTTAAGAGACCTGAAGTACTTAGGATCTCAGACCTCCAAACACAATAAAAAGTTGTGGAGAGAGAATGAAACAAAAAGAAAAAAGGCAAAAACTTATGAAGGCTCTTACTCTCCAGGGTCCCAAAGCTCCTTTCATGCTGGGATGAAGGGAAGAAGCTCCCCTGATCCTCTTGCTACCACCTTTGGTGGTGGCTCCCGGGAGGGAGGGAGAGGTTGCACAAGGAATGGAGAATAAAAGACATCCCGCCATTCTAGTAATGCCATCTCTGGGACTGACTCCATATGGGGTAAGAGCCTCTAACCTTCTGCTGCAACCTTTGGTTTTGTCTCCCATACTGTTCAGTTAAATACAAATATTCAGCCCACACATGTGTTTTCAATGCCAAACAGAGCATTCTAACATTCAGTGGTAAAAAATAATAATTTTCCATTGTCTTAATCAGATGTGAACTAACTTCCAACCTGATGAACTGCTATAACTCTACAAAGCTGTTTACCCACTTCTACTCCTCAAAGCTGGGCGGTGACAACTACATTTACAATATAACAATGATGTTAACAGCCTGTAGCAGAAAAGGTTATTTCATTTTGTGATCAGCTCAAGGCAATGCGGTAAAAAATGTTTCAACTTTCAAAACCAGCACGTGGCTTAATTACAAATCAGGAAATTATAACTGAAAAAGGATTTTAAAGACCCCACAATGTTCCAAGGAAATTTCAACTCTAGGTTTAACAAGATTTTTGTGTTGGTGGATTTTTTTTGTTTTGTTTTTTTAACACAGACTATTATAGCTGGATTAAATGAAGCACAAAGACGTTTATAGATGACTTTCCCTGAGGCGACAGTGAGTCACAGTGATTTAAATCATATTAAAACCCAGCTTCCTCCGATTACAATTTTTACTTTGCTACTTACTGCATAAAATCGGAGAGGAAGGTGTCTGGAGCGTTAAAGTTGAGCCATCTTTCCGAGTGAGGTTAACACGAAATACCAATCTGGCACGGGTGCTTTTTTTCTTGGAACCAGCAATCCCTATTCGAGCTTCAACATCTGCATTTCTCAACTTCAGTATTCCTACACAATCAACCCTAGCAACACATAACATTTGAGTTAATAACCCAGTAGGACTTCCAAAACTACAGCTATAAAACTGACCAGAACCTGGAGTTCAGTAGGTTTACCATCTCAATAGATCTATTCAGATTTGTTTACCATGCAACAGAGTCAGAATTTTCTAAATGCAGTTAAGAGTCCAAAGCAGTTCATGTGCCTTAACACATGACAGGGCACTGAAATGGCATCTCTAAGGGAGTTATATCACCCTAGCCTCAACTCATCCCTGCCTGCTTTGTCCAGGAGATGATGAAGCAAGGAAAAAAGTAGTGAGAAACTATGAAGACTGCAAACCTACAGAACTTCAATTTATTCCATATTAACTCTGCCAGCCACTCAATTTGACTCTGCAGATCCCCACCCCTCACTCTTGGGAGACTGAAAAGCTAGTTCTGAAGGAGTAATGCAAACTAGGGACATGAAGAGCTACTTTACCAAAATTCTACCTCCACTCTAAGCTTCTTTGTCAAGACAGTAATGCCTTGGCTGAAAGCATGAAGAAACTTCATGTACTCACATGGTTGACTTACGGCTACTGGAATCTGGTGTGAGCAAATGTGCAGTGCCTAACACAAAGGGGTCCTGGTCCATGACTATGGCCCCTAGCTGCTAGAAGAATACAAATAAATAATAAGTGGTGGATGCATGTATGCCCTTAGTAAAAAGGACCCTATACATACCGGCAAGAGCTGGTACACCGTACTGGGGCAGCCCAGCTTCCCCAGGGGGCAATTTAAATTGTCTGGGGCTCCCAGCCCTCCATCCCCCCCATGGATCCCAATACAGGCACTGGGGAGGTGGAGGGCATGGGTGGTCATGGTGGTGCCCACAAATGACTGTACCAGGCTTGAGGGTCAGAACGAGGGTGCGATTGGGGAGATCCCGTTGGTGTAATGGTGGGCCACACTGTGAGGCCAGAGAAAGATAATCATCCTGGTCACTGCCTGACTCCTTGCTGGAAAAGGGTGGTGCTGACCAGGGTTCTGGGGGTAAATGGCCCAGATTTACCTGTAGTGATACCTAGATGTGCTCGGTACCTGGACCCCAGTACCAAGTAGTGGGGATTCCAGTTCTTCCATAACCACAAGGTCCCCCGAGAAATGGAACTCCCACGGTATCATTGATACACTCAGTACTATCAAGGAGTCCCAGTGCTGACTTGTCGGTACCGACTGTTGTTTATGTAAGGAATGCTCCAATAAGGGTTGATTTGATGCACTCAGTGCCAAAGATGGTTTTGTCTGTGCCGATCTTTTAGAGGTGGTACAATCTCTGTCTTTATCTCTGGGAGGTGGGGCCATTGCTTCCAAGCCTGGGTCCCTGGGGTCCTTAGGCACTATGGCAGAGCTTGTACTGGGGAGTCACTGATAATGACTGAGGTGCGTGAGTGTACCGGGGATCCCCTCTGGCTGGCCAACAACTAGGTTTGAGGGCTCAGAGCCCTTTTTTTTAATGGCTTTGCAGGGGAGAATCAGCTGACTTTTTTTTTTTTTTTTTTTTTTTTTGCAATTCTACCCCTCTGCAGTATCAAGGCTCTGGGGATGAACTCCATCTTCGAGAGGTTTCAGGACTGAGGTCAGCTGGTAGTTGGAGTGCACCCTCATGAAGAGAAGCCTTAACTTGAGCTCCTGGTTCTTATGAGATGTCATCTCATCTCCATGAACTTCTGCAAAATAAGTGCCTCTCCAGGACACCGGACACAATGAGAATGCCCGTCCGTTACTAGAATTGCCCCATTGCCGGAGAGGCATCTCGTGACTGTGGGGGAAACCAGGCAGGCGATTTACATTTTTTCCACGTTTTTTGTGGGCAAAGAAAAGGTTCTCTTTTCTTAGAATGGAAAAACAGAAACTAACTACTAAAAGGAAACAAAAAACTCCAATAATAGCCACTATTTATATTAAATGCTATCAAGAAAGAAGAGACTACTGCTCTTGCCATTTGAGGCCAAAGGTGGTTCGCCCACGCAGTGCTAGATAGCTTCGAGGCAGACCACAATGGAGGAAGGGAGGGAGGACGCACATGTGGGCTGAACAAACAATGCTACCTAAAATATCGGGTTAGAGAGGGCGCAAATACACCTACAGTGGAGCACCCATAAAAGACACTACTCAAAGAGAATATACGGCTCTTTTTTCTAAGATGCAGATACAATTGCTAGATATCTTCTACAGACAAAGTACATGGATGTGACGGCTTCTCTTATGGCCAAACAATACTTAGTTTAGCATACCTATTACTAAGATTGCTTTGAAAAGTGGGGTCTGTTGGGTGGAATAAACCAACTCCCTTAACATTGAAAGCTTGCTCTTCTACTGGAGAGAAAGAAAGTCAGATTACTGAATGGAGTCTTTGCAAGGAGATCATCACTGAATAGTAATAATTGTAGTGTATAGTCTTATAGACCGTGAAATGGTTTGAGAAAAGCTCAAGCTATCATATGAAGAGAAAGTCAGAATGAGACACAACACTGGAAAAATCTTTGCTACCTAAAAATCTTCATTCAAAACAGAAGGATGATGGTCAAGCAAAACAGCTGGTATTCTTCTTTGTAGATGAGCCAAATTTTGGAATAAAGGAACAGAGACTGACAATAATCGTAGTGTGTGTGTGTGTGTGTGCGTGTGCGCGCGCACCTCTTAGTAACCAGTCAGATAAAGATACAGCTGCAGACCATGTCTTCATAGGTGTGCATGGCATTTCGTGCTATCTCATGGGGCTGTCATGACAAAATACCAGTTGGCATAAGAAGGGATAAAATAAAGAACCCAGTATTGGTAATGAATCTGACCTACTTAAAAAAAAAAATCTAGTGACATTTCCAATACATTTAAAGAAGCAGGGGGAGGTGGCATTGACAACAACTATTTGGAAACTGATCCTCTTAATCATCCCTTAAGTTGTCTTAAGTACAAATTGGGACAATTGTCTCTAATCACTTCCTATTCTTAAAATCTCTGTTGTAATAAAGAAATATCAAGAATAAGAAACAGATTCCTCTTTGCCTGATGAGAACAGGTTCTATAATTTCTAGATCTACCAGAAAATACTTCCTGTTTTAACAATATCATGAGCAAAGTCCCTGGAATGGGAGAACATGGAGGTATTCTTTTACCTTTCCTCCAATTCCTTAGTGACAAAACATAGTAAGTCAGTGTCACAGATGGTCATTTGACCTTTCCAGTTGAGGGAGCTTGAATTTAACTTTCAGTAACCTCTAAAGAGGCCCAAGACTTTCAGGCTGATATCACTGAGCTCAAAGAACAGATGCTAATCCTACTTTTCTTTTTATTCATTTTGTATTAATTAGGTCAGAGATCCAGATCATTGCTTCATACTTTAGGATAAAATCCTAAATTACAAAGCCAGGCATAGTGCTTACTCACTAAACAGAATGGACAGCTGAGCCTTAAGCATCAGAGTCCAAATAATGCATTTAGAGAGCTCTAGACTCCTCTGAATGGTGGCAACAAAGGACCGTTTAAATGCTTCTGAAAAGTGACCATTTTATAACCAAGATGATAGTTGTACTTTGTCATAAATGCCTGATTCTTTGCCAGCTTCACAGATAAAGTTAAAGGATTGTCAGATGGATTGGACAGTAACAAAACAAACTGGGCTGGGGGAGTGCTAAAAAACTCTTTCCGCACTTCTCACTACGGACAAATCCAAAACCTGCTGGACTCAGTTCTTCAATAAGCTCTAAAAACACTAATTGAGAAGGCATCTCCCTCTTTTTCCTTGCCTCTCAAAAAAAAAGTTGAAAGAACAACTGCAAGACTAAGTCCACTGATGAATCTTCATGTCCTGCAAGTACTTACACAATGTTGCAAACACTAAACAAAGAATGTGAAACTCTAATATAAAAACTAAAGATAGAAAAAGCATTTAAAAAAAAGACGTGTAAGACAATTACCTTTTCCGTAACTGGTGTTCTTTGAGATGTGTTGCTCATGTCTATTCCACAATACATGTGCGTGCTCGCCACGTGCACCGGTGCCGGAAGTTTTTCCCCTAGGAGTACCCATAGGGGGAGCGCCCCAGCGACCCCTGGAGTGGCACTTCCATGGTGCGGTATAAAGGGAGCTATGCGCTTCCCCCACCCTCAGTTCCTTCTTGCCAGACAATTCCGACAGAGGGGAAGGAGGGTGGGATGTGGAATAGACATGAGCAACACATCTTGAAGAACACCAGTTACGGAAAAGGTAACTTTTTTCTTCTTCGAATGATTTCTCATGTGTATTCCACAATAGGTGATTTCAAGCTATATCTGTTGGAGGTGGGTAGCAGTTCACAAGTTCTCAGGACGGAGGACAGCCCTGCTGAACCTGGCGTCATCCCTGGTTTGGGAGATGATCACATAGTGCGAAGTGAATGTGTGAACCGAAGACCACGTGGCGTCCCTACAAATGTCGAGGATGGGGACATGGGCCAAGAAGGCAGATGAGGCCTGTACTCGAGTTGAGTGCGCCTTCACAATTGGTGGCGGGGGGATACCCGCCAGCTCAGAACAGATACAGATGCATGAAGTGATCCAGTTGGAAAGCCGCTGAGTGGAGATCGACCAACCCCTCATGCACTCAGCCGAAGCGATGAACAGTTGCGAGGGCTTTCTGACCAGCTTGTTCCGCACAGGTAGAAAGCCAGAGCCCGTTGCACATCGTGCATGTGGAGACAGCGCTCCTCATTGGACACGTGGGCTTGGGGCAGAGGACTGGCAGAAAAATGTCCTGACCCATGGGAAAGGCGGAGACCATCTTCATGAGGAACGTAGGGTGTGGGCGGAGCTGGACCCCGTCCTTATGAAAAACCGTGTATGGAGGCTCGGAGGTCAGGGTCCTGAGCTCCGAGACTCGCCTGGCTGACGTGATCACGACCAGGAAGGCCACCTTCCATGTTCTGCTGTTGTCACCGGGAACTTGTGACCGTGTCAATGAGCCCCTTCAGCATCTCGAACCTGTCTGGTGGGAGGGAAGCTGTGGCTGAAGAGGCATCCAGGAGCGCCCCATAAACTCCATCCTTTAACCGGGACTAACGTGGACCTGGTGTCGTTTACCAACAGGCCCAAGGCGGTGCACGTGGACAGGAGGAGCGTCACATGATCCCTCACCTGCGACCGACAGCTGCCCTTGACCAGCCACTCGTCCAGATAGGGAAAAATCTGGACCCCCCCGGTGCCTGAGGTAGGCCACTACCACCGACATACATTTTGTAAATATCCTGGAGGCAGTGGACAGACCAAACAGGAGGACTGTAGATTGGTAGTGATTCTGCCCCACCACGAAAAGGAGGAAGTGTCTGTGTCCCTCGAATATGTGAATGTGGAAGTACGTGTCCTGCAGATCAAGGGCAGCGTCCCAGTCCCCGGGATCCAGGGAGGAGATGATGGAGGCTAGGGAGACCATGCAGAACTTGAGCTTCATCACGAACTGGTTTAGATCTCGCAGGTCCAGGATGGGACTGAGTCCCCCTTTGGCCTTTGGAATAAGGAAATAGCGGGAATAGAACCCCTTGCCTTTGAATTCCCCGGGCACCACTTCCACTGCTCCTAGGCTCCAGAGCTGCCCCACCTCCTGCTCGAGCAGGGCTTCGTCCGAGGGTTGATCCCTGAGGACTGGGGGGGGCACCCCTAAGCGTCCCATCAAAATCGCCTTTTCCCCACCTGTTTGCCCTTGGAGGCCCAGGTTGCGGGGCTGGCCTTGACTGCCTCTGAGGGCGCCTTTTATAGTCCCACGCCTTCTTATAGGCGGCCTCGTATTTCGGGTGGGAGGCCTGAGCGAGAGTTTGCTGCGGCTTAAACTTAGATTTAGCCGGAACATAGAGACCCAGAGTCTGGACGATCGTGCGGGAGTTCTTTATACCATGCAGCTTTGTGTCCGTTTCTTCCGCAAACAGAGCTTTGTCATCAAACAGGAGATCCTGCATGATGGCCTGCGCCTCACTGGGCAGCCTGGACAGCAGGAGCCACAACGTCCTTCTCATGGAAACCGCGGAGGTGCGACCATATCCGCCGCATCTGAAGCTGCTTGCAGCCACTGTACCCTCCTCCACCAGCGCCCTGAACTCCTTCCTATCATGCTCCTGCAGGGAGTCTTCAAACTTGGGCAGGGGGCCCCACAGACTGAACTCATGCCAGCCCAGGAGAGCCTGGTCGTTTGCCACTCGTAACTGGAAGCTTGAGGACGAATAAACTTTTCTTCCAAAAGAGTACAGCCTCCATGAATCTTTATTTTTTGGGGTAGGGCTGGCTGGCCCTGCCGTTCCGTTCTTGACCGACTCGACCACCAGGGAGTTGAGCACCGGGTGGGTGCATAAGTACTCGTGTCCCTTGGCGGGTACAAAGTACTTGTGTTCTGCCCTCTTGGAGACGGGCCAATGAGGCCAGTATTTGCCACAGGGCATTTGAAATTTTTGCCACCCCTTCATGGAGAGGCAAAGCTACGCTGCTCAGTACGGAAGAGGACAGCGCATTAAACAGGGAGTCCAAGGGCTCCTCCATCTTCTCTGCCTGGAGGTGGAGGCGTGATGCCACCCTTTTTAGGAGTTCCTGGTGGGCCCTAAAGTCCTCCTGCGGGACTGTGGGGGGCGGGGCCGTAATCGCCTCTTCTGGGGAGGGCGAGGAGGCCGGTGCGGTACTTTGGGTGTCCGCTGGCACCGGAGGGTCCACCACCTGGTTGGTCTCCGGGCATGGTGCAGAGGATGTACGTCCCACTGACTCCTTCCTCGGAGGTCTGGAGAGGGAGGCCGGTGTTGCCTCTGAGGCACCGGCTACCAAACGAGCCCCCACCGGGGCTGCGTCGGGGGCCACAGTGCCCACTAGTACCACTGGGCCGGCCATGGGGCCTGGAGTCACTGCACTTGCTGCGGCACCTGCTGCTCGGCCTGGCTGGCCTGGACCATGGAAGGATGACTACGAGCTGAAGCCGGGCTGATGAATGACCTGCCGCTGTCCTGGGACCGGAAGGAACGGCAGTGCCGGGAGCAACACCAACCACGGGACCGCGATCCCAACGTGGAGGACCGGTACCATCGGCAGCAGCTGCTCTGCAATCGGCTCCAATGGGCGGACCCATGACGGTGAGATGCCAGTGATTGATGCCTGGGGCTGCGGAAGCGATGCCTTGGTGGGGTCTTGGAGTGGGATTCCAAGCGGTAACAGCATCGACGTCCGTGCCGTGACCAGCTGCGGTAACCCCTCTGAGATGAGGGCCTCTGGCGACGTCTGCCTCGGTCCTGTCAGTACTCACTCCTTGAAGTGGAGCGGTGCCAAGAGTCTCGGTCGGATGGCATCCAACCAGACAGTCTGGTGGGAGTCGAGGGTGATCCACGTGGACTTTGACCTGAACGGTTGCTGGGCAACGAACAGCGTCAGGAACGTTCCCGGGACCGAGACCGGTACTGAGCCGGGGGCGACTGTGGAGATCCCAGCGGTGGCTTGCCCCTGGAGCACGGGACTGACATTGGCGGCACTCCTGGTACCAGCATGGACAGGACATAGAATCATAGAATATCAGGGTTGGAAGGGACCTCGGGAGGTCATCTAGTCCAACCCCCTGCTCAAAGCAGGACCAATCCCCAATTTTTGCCCCAGATCCCTAAATGGCCCCCTCAAGGATTGAACTCACAACCCTGGGTTCAGCAGGCCAATGCTCATCCCGGGCCCCCTGCAGGGCCTCCGGCAGAGAGGGCATCCGGGGAGGCCTGGTCTGAAGCGACCGAGCGACTCCGCTCTATGTGAGTCAGAGGCCTAGAGGCCGGAGAGGATTGAGGACTGCCTGACATGGGTCTAGCCTCTGCCCCGGGTTTTCCTCAGTGCGGCTGCGAAAGCGGCGTCTTTTTGCCTTCTTGTGTCCCATGGACGGGGAGCGGTGCCAACTAGTGGGAGACTCCGGAAGGGTGCCGTGCACTGACACCGCAGTGCCAGCTCAGAGCGGCGTGCCGGAATCGGGGTCAGCGCCAACTCCATCAGAATGGCCCGGAGCCTAACGTCTCTTTCCCTCTTGGTCCGAGGTTTGAACGACTTGCAAATCTTGCAACAATCGCTGATATGGGTTTCTCCCAAACAGCGTGAACAGCCTGCGTGCAGGCCACTCCGAGGCATACATCGCCTACAAGTGTTGCACGACTTAAAACCTGGGGAGCGGGGCATGCCCTGGCTCAGGCTCTCTAACTGAACAGCTTACTAACTACAGGTACTAACACTGAACGAACAAGCAGTTCTGGGGACGAGCTACAGCAAAGCAGGAGCAGAGTACTTCCGATGCACCTTCACTGGCAGCAAGAAGGAACTGAGGGTGGGGGGAGCACGCAGCTCCCCTTATACTGCACCATGGAGGAGCCACTCCGGGGTCGCTGGGGAGCTCTCCCCTACGGATACTGCTAGGGGAAAAACTTCCAGCACCGGTGCACGTGGCAAGCACGCACACCTATTGTGGAACACACATGACCAATAACTCGAAGAACACAAAGTGAACATTGGGTAAAAAAAACACTTTGGGTGAGCTTAGGGTGGATTTTAAGACATTTTCCTTACACTATGTTGTCTCACTAGTATTCTCTCTGTGTCAAGGTATTCATATTTTAACTGCTTTCAAAACAGTTTGATGAACAAATCCAAAAAGAATCTCTGGAAGCAAGTTAATGAAGGGGAACATTAAGTTAAAAAATTGTATTTTGAAGGTGACTTGCTTATAAAACTTAATCCGTCTACTCAGTTTGTTTTCACACAAATGCTGGAAGCAAGCTATTCAGTGAATAAATAAAAAAGCAATTTATTTCCATAAAGTTTTAATTATGTCAGACTACATTTAGGAAGTCTTATTTTTCGTCTTTATTATCTTGCTCCCTACTGTACATATGTTAAAAAAACAACAACCCAAACCTCTCTTATTTAAGATAACACCAAATTAACAAAAATAATGAGGAGTCCAGTGGCACCTTAAAGACTAACAGATTTATTTGGGCATAAGCTCTCATGGGTAAAAAACCCACTTCTGCAGATTTATGGCCAAATAAATCTGTTAGTCTTTAAGTTGCCACCAGACTCCTCGTTGTTTTTGTGGATACAGACTTACACAGCTACCCCTCTCATAACATCAAATGACACCTTCAGACTTGATTCCTGAAGCAAAAAATAACCTCTTACTGCAGTGGTTCTCAAACTTTTGTATTAGTGACCCCTTTCACATAGTAAGCCTCAGACTGAGACCTACCTTATACATCAAAAATAAGTTTTTTTTAACATTTAACAAATGCTGGAGGCAAAGCTTGGTTTGGGGGTGAAGGCTGACAGCTCGTGACCCCTGCGTAATAACCTTGCAACCCCCTAAGGGGTCACAACCCCCAGTTTGAGAACCCCTGTCTTACTGTTTCATCCCAGAAAGACAGTGCAATCCAAAAAGAATTACTTACGCAAGTGTCATGTTGTTGCTAGGGTCAAGGCCAACCTCTATAACCGTAGTACCCTCTATGTCCACCTCTTTGCAGGGAGTAGTGTTTCGCCCAGTTACCCTGCAGGCCTGGTAGAACCCATGTGGCTTCACTCGACCAGAGTCATTACCCACAAACACTTGCAGCACTACTGGCTCATTGTGACCTTCCAGCTAGAACCAAGAAACAAGAAGTAGATAGTAAATTGACCTTATAATTTATTATGAAATAAGACATTTTAAAAACAGTACAACTGAATTGCAATGTTTCAGTTAAAAGATACACAACCTCCAAAAAACTGACTGAGAGTAAATGAACAATTTCCAAGGAGGGAGGAAGCAGAGAATTTCTATATAAATTTACAAAATGGCAGACTGATGTTTTGTTCTTCTTAATATCACATTGCTTAGATTGTAGCCTCAGGGATTTCAAAACCCGATTTATTCTTCCATAAAAAATATAAAGTAAACAGCAACTAGCATTCTCAGTTAAAATGTATGATCAATGTTGATTCACTGTCAAAATATTTTATGAATAAAGGCTTCTTAGAGACATCTGTTCATAGGTGCCAATCAATACGTTCAGTATTAATGTGCTACCCACAATCAGTTTGCAGGAGAATACATTTATGCCATGAGAAAAACGTGTTAGAGTATTACAGGACTTTATAAGACTAAGTGTTGGCATTATATGTAAATTTACACTCCAATTTCAAACGAAATAACCATTCCTAAGCTTTTTATAAAAATATATTTCTACATTAGATTAATGAGCTCTTAAAATGTTAATTGTTAATACTGTTTGTTCTTTTATACTCTGCATAGTGATCCTAATCCTGTTTGAGCCACTTCAGAAACTCCTCGATCACAACAATGCCATGCAGTTCAAGGTAACAATTTCACGTTAACTAATGAAAATACTTCTATGAAATTGCACAGAGGAATCTCTATTACACTGTAGAGCAATTAAGAAAAAGGTTTTCAAAAGATTAATTGGTTTGGAGGAATTTTATATTTGAGAAAACACCCATCACTCAATGTATATAGTGATTTAATTCTCCAATATTTTCTCTAATCCCACTTTTAATTAATAATTTAAATTTGTGGTTTGGTTCACAGGGAATAGATCAAACATCCTGCAATATTACAAGTGCAATTCCTATTAACTAGCAGGAACAGGTTTTTTGCATCATTGTTTTACTAATGGCACTTACATGTTCAGTTGGATATGAAATTCATTGCACCATTCATGTTGCAACCCTTTGATAAAAAGTTATTCCGAGAACCTCTCCAGCTATAATTGTATCCAAAATCAAATTCCCATTCCAACCAACTATGCTTTCAAGTTTAAACAAAGCTCATCTTCAGCCTACACACTTACAGTGCCTCTTGTGCACAGCTCTTATACAAGTCTAATAGTGTCTGGTTTATGATTTTCACGAGGATTTTTCATATCTTTAATGAGACATCAGTACATACACAATGTAATTTGTCTACTTCCTGACAAATATCTTAACAAACAGGACTCTGCTTTTACTTAGACGGCAAGAACTAATGAAACTGTTCTCTCCGTTCCTGATGCCTTTCTAAAATATATTCAGTATTTCTTCAATGAGCAATAAAGGATTTTCTGTGCAGCATCATGAGCAACCATGGAACTGTTAGATGTGAATTGAAAGCTTACTTTTTCCAGACTTGTTTAGTCAGATGCTTTCACCTTGGATTTTTTTAATTGAGTACATAATTGTCTTAATATTATATTATAGTTTTGGGGGAAGTGGAGGTGGATAGATAGAGGTTGTTTTTGTCTGGCATTTTAATTTACCTTGAAACATGAAGGAACAGCATTATGATAATGTCAAATATATTAACAAAAAATTGAAGACAGGATTATGTTACACTAATTACTCCAACTACTCAAAGTGTATATGACACGGTCATTAAACAGCAAACTAGAAATGAAAGTATATATGATGTTTCACAGCAGAGAAAGGTCAACTGTGCATGCATTTGACTCAACAGATTTTAAACCAGAAGGCACCATTATGACCATCCACTCTGGCTCCCTTGAAAACAGAGGCCAAAAAACCTGTAATAATTTCTGCATCAAGTCCACAACTTCTGTTTTAACTGTAGCATATCTTCTAGAAAGGTATCGAGTCTTGATTTGAAGACTTCAAATGATAAAGAATTCACCACATCCCTTAGTATGTTGTTCCAGTGGCTAATTCCCCTCACTGTTAAAGATCTGTTCTTTATTTCTAGTCTCAATTTGTTTCACTTCAGATTTCAGCGACTAGATTTTATGATGCCTTAATCGGCTAGATTAAAGAGCCCTCTACTATCAGAAATATATCCCCATATAGATAGATTCTTATGTTTTAAGGCCAGAAGGGGTCATTCATAAAATCATAGAATCATAGAATATAAGGGTTGGAAGGGACCCCAGAAGGTCATCTAGTCCAACCCCCTGCTCGAAGCAGGACCAATTCCCAGTTAAATCATCCCAGCCAGGGCTTTGTCAAGCCTGACCTTAAAAACCTCTAAGGAAGGAGATTCTACCACCTCCCTAGGTAACGCATTCCAGTGTTTCACCACCCTCTTAGTGAAAAAGTTTTTCCTAATATCCAATCTAAACCTCCCCCACTGCAGCTTGAGACCATTACTCCTCGTTCTGTCATCTGATACCATTGAGAACAGTCTAGAGCCATCCTGCTTTCAGGTAGTTGAAAGCAGCTATCAAATCCCCCCTCATTCTTCTCTTCTGCAGGCTAAACAATCCCAGCTCCCTCAGCCTCTCCTCATAACTCATGTGTTCCAGACCCCTAATCATTTTTGTTGCCCTTCGCTGGACTCTCTCCAATTTATCCACATCCTTCCACATTAGATCATGTATTCTGATCTCTTATATAACAGGTCACAGAATTTCACCGTTACTCTGTAGTAAGCCCAGTAACTTTTGTCTGACTAAAGCATACCATCCAGAAAGGCATCCAATCTTGATTGGGAAAATCTACACGTGCTTTATCTGAAAATTTTCCTTCTTAGAGTAATGAGGTCTACAAATACATGACACTGGGTCTGTCTGTCTGTACATGCAGTCTTGGAGGCAGAGCAAATGTGTCAATCAGTGTCAGGGGAGGAGTGGCTCCACTTCCAAGAAACACCCAGTTGAGACACTTCTGTAGCCTAATACATCTCTGTGCTAGTAAGGAAAATTAAGCAGTAAGATTAAGTAGAACAATACTCCTGCAGAGCAAGGAATTCAGTGAATAATAAACTGAGTGCAATTAATAATCCGATGTGTTTCCCCAATTAGCCCATTCAGAGTGGGTTGGATCTGTGGACCCTCCTACTCCAAGAAAGGCAATTTTGAGGTAAGGCACAGATAAATTTTCCTATTCTTATTCACAATGAGTTCCAAAGATCCATGACACTGGGATTTTCATAGCAGTGTCTACTAGGGGGAGGGTGGCAACTATATGTTATATACAAAAAGGTAAATACTGGAATGCTACAGCAAAGAGCACGTGTCTAACGAAGGCAGAATCAGAATGTCTGCATGTCCAGGATGTAGAATGTGGAGATAGTATGAACAGATGACCAGGTGGCTACTTTACAGATTTCCTTGCACGTAAAAACATAATGAGCACACTGGGTCAGACCAATGGTCCATCTAGCCCAGTATCCTGTCTTCTGACAGTGGCCAGTGCCAGATGCTTCAAAGGGAATGAAGAGAACTGAGCAATTTATCGAGTGATCCAGCCGGTCATCCAGTCCCAGCTTCTGGCAGTCAGAAATATAAGGACACCCCAGAGCATGAGGTCCTGTCTCTGACCATCTTGGTTATCCTCCATGAACTTATCTAATTCTTTTTTGTATCCAATTATACTTTTGGCCATCACAATATCTCCTGTCAACCAGTTTCACAGGTTGACTGTGAACTGGGTTAAGTACTTCCTTATGTGTATTTTAAACCTACTGCCTATTAATTATATTGCATGACCCCTGGTTCTTATGTTATGAGAAGGGATAAATAACACTTCCTTATTCACTTATTTCTTCACTTATAAACAGGGCTGTCCCGGGGGTGGGGTGGGGGAAAGAGGCTTGGGATGGAAGTGATGAATTTGTCACTTCCAGGACCAACCGTGCCGGCCAATCGCACTGGCCCACAGGGCCCCTGAAAGCGTGGGGCCCGAAGCAGTCACCCCAATTCACCGTACCCAAGGGATGGCTCTGCTTATTGACCTCTGTCATATCCCCCAATTCGTCATCTATTTTCTAAGATGACTAGTCCCAGTCTTTTTAATCTCTTCTCATATTGAAACTGTTCTATACTCAATCATTTTTGTTGTCCTTCCCTGTACTTTTTCCAATTCTAACATATCTTTTTTTAGATGGGGTGACCAGAACTGCATGCAGTATTCAAGGTGCAGGCATACCATGGATTTATATAGTGGCATTATGATATTTTCTGTCTTATTATTAAGGTTTTGAGTATGTCACAGAAGTTGCAGAAATCATGGAGCTGGGTGCTGGACGCTCCTCTCTCCCCATTTTGTCAGGGATGTTTTTAGTAAAAGCCAGGGACAGGTCACAGCTTCTGTGAATTTTTTTCAATGCCCATTACCTATCCATGACTTTTACTAAAAATATCCATGACAAAATCGTAGCCTTACTTATTATCTATCCCTTTCCTAATGCTTCCTAACATTTTTTGTCAGCTTCTTTTGACTGGTGCAGCACATGGAGCAGATGTTTCCAGAGAACTAGCCACGATGACTCCAAGATCACTTTCTTGAGTGGTAACGGCTAATTTAGAACCCATCAATGTGTATATATAGTTGGGATTAGGTTTTCCAAAGTGCATTAATTTTGCATTTATCAACAATGAATTTCACCTGCCATTTTCTTGCCTAGTTACCCAGTTTTGTGAGACCCGTTTAAAACCCTTTGCAGAGCTCTGGATTTAACTATCCAGAGTAATTTTGTATCATCTGCAAATGTTGCCATCTTGCTGTTTACGTCTTCTCCCAGATCATTTATGTATATGTTGAACAGCACTGATCCCAGTTCAGACTGTTGGGGGATCCTGCTATTTACCTCACCACTGTGAAAACTGACCACTTATTCCTACCCTTTGTTTCCTATCTGTTAACCAATTACTGATCCACAAGAGGACCTTCCCTCTTGCCCACTGACACCTTACTTTGCTTAAGAACTTTTGGTGAGAAACCTTGTCAAAGGTTTTCTGAAAGTCCAAGTACAGTGGATCACCATTGCCCACATGCTTGTTGACTCTCTCAAAGCATTTTAAGAGACTGGTGAGGCATGATTTCCCTTTACAAAATCTGTATTGACTCTTCCCCAACACATCGTGTTCATCTATGTGTCTGATAAATCTATTCTTTTCGGTAGCTTCAATTGGTTTGACTCATACTGAAGTTAGGCTTACCAGTCTGTAATCATCACTGGAGCCTTTTTTTAAAATCTGGACCATATTAGCTATTCTCCAGTCACCTTGGACAGATTCAGATTTAAGCAATAGATTACGTACCATAGTTAGTGGTTCTGCAATTTCATATCTGAGTTCCTTTAGAACTCTTGGGTGAATCCATTCCAGTCCTAGTGACTTATTACTGTTTAATTAATCACTTTATTCTAAAACCTTGTGTGAGGCATATGATTCTTCTGCCCAGGAAATTGCAATATCTCTGAGGGAGTGAGCTCTGATTTTGGAAGATGGAGTTATGCTTTTTTATTTGCATGCTTCTGAGATACAACAGCTCAGCCTGGAAATGGAGGATTCTGAGGCCTTTGTTCCCTTTGGAACCAGATAATAAAGAACAAATTATTTGTCTTTCTAAACCAAGTTGTGCAGTGGATATATATTGTGAGATGTTCAAGTGTACCACAATCTCTCTTTGGGATGCAATGGAGCTGGGTAAAAGGATGAAAGGATAATATCCTGTGCTCTCTAGAGCACAGAGTCAACGTTTGGTATGAAGGCAGTATCGGTTCTGGTTCTGAATCTGACTTTATCTTTATGGAAGATGCAGCACTCAGGTTCCAGGAAGAGTTCCCAATTCAAACACCTGCAAATTCATGGGATTACTAACAAAAAGACCAGTTTAATGGTTAGAAAATCATAAGATACTTTCATGAGCAGTTCAAATGGAGGGTCTATAGCGGAACTGAGAATCAGGTTAAGATCCCGTGCAAGAACTCTGCACTTTAGGAGAACATAAAAGGGATGTCCATCCCGTCCTGTTCTCCTCCCCCCCACACAATCTCTCAAAAAAGCATACCATCTTCTGGACAAGATGAAATCCACTACTTGTCTGTTGTGCTAAGGACACTAGACGAAGCAGCAACTTGACTTTTGGGTGTCAGCATAGCTTGAGTCCATCTTGAAGAAATTCAAGAATCCATGGTAGCAGAGAAACCCTTGTCCTGGTACCAATGGGTAAACCTCAACGAGGTCCTTAAAATCCACCGAGTTAGTAGATTTATTTCTGACAGCTAAAAGTGTGGATATTACCTCTTCTGACTAACCTTTTTGGCTTAAAAGGCTCTATTCAAAAAGCTGGATTCTTATTACAAGGAACAATTATGCATATTAGGGTACATTACACAGCAAAAAAATAAAGAAATTAAAAAATAAAAACAGAATCCTGGCAGCGAGTCTCAGAGCCCGGACCAACTGATTTGGGCTCATGCTATGGAGCTAAAACTAGCAATGTAGATCTAAGGGCTCGGGCTGGAGCCCTGACTCTGAGACCCTTACCCCTAACTAGGTTTCAGAGCCAGAATGTCTATACTGCTATTTTTAGCCCCACAGCATGAGCCCAAGTCAGCTGATTCAGGCTCCAAGACTCACTACCAGGGATCTTTATTTTTTTGTGTTTTTTCTTCCTCTGGGTAGACATATTTTTCGATTGCCTTCTGGATGGAATGCAAATGGAAGGTCTTTGTGCCATGTTGAGGAGATTGAGAACCAAGGCCTCATTGGCTAAAACAGGAGTACCAGAATTACCGCAGCTGGCTCTCTTCTGATCTTCTACAGAGTTCTAGTGACAAGAGGAAAGGGAAGGAAGTCATATCTTGCCATCTTTGTGACAAGGCATCTGTTGCTTTAGATTTGTGATTCTACTGGCAAAAGACGAACACTGAAAATTTGTAATTCAGGTGGGGAATAAACAGATCTATCACTTGGAGACTAAATTCCTTTAGCAGAAATTAGAACACCCCTGCGCGTAGTTCCCATACTGAACGGTCTAACTTATGCTGGCTGAATGAACTACAATCATTTCCCTTTGGTTATGAAGCGAAGTGACTCCAGATTCCTCTTTACACAAATCATCAGGAGGTGAGGTTCTTTTAGTGCTGTTGGCATGTGACATGGCTCAGGTGTTGTCTGTCATGTTTGGACCAGATCCCTTGAACAATCTTTGTCCGTGTCTGAGCACCCCATCCCTCCAGATTGCATCTGTGGTGACAACAGTCCTGACTGGTTTACCTTTTGGGAAGCCTGACTTGAATCTGCTCAGACTCACCCAACATCTGAATAACTTGGAAATCTCCTAAGGAGAGACACCATCACTGAGCAGAAGAGAAGAGGAAACTCATGCAAGCAGAGGGTCACTAAGAATATCTACATAGGAGATCACTGATTCCCAGAAGCAACAGAAGCTCATCTTCCCAAGGTTGAGGGGGACCAGACTTGCAATACTGTCCATCCATGTTAGAATTGCCTGTTAAAGACTGTAGGGGCCCTTGGGGTAGTAGAGGACAGTTCATGTTTGTTTATGTTGTAGTCCTGATGCACCCTGGCAGTTTTCATGCCTGAAAAGCTTCACTGGCCTTTTGATATTTTGCTTCAAACTATGCTTCCCCAGAGAAGGGAAGGGAGCTGCCACTCATGCTGGGTCTGGGGCAGCTGCCTGTGCCAGCCTAGGTGATTTTGTTACCACTGCTTCCTGGGTGCTCTTTGGGTCAAGGAGGGATGGCTGCAGGAAACCCTGCCTTAGCTTCAGAGAGGCTTGGGTCTCCATGGAACAGACACAGATCTCCACCAAGGCACACAGTCACTAGGGAGATGCTGGAGACAGTTTCTGGTTTTCCTTCTCTTCTTGGCCTTTTCCACTATGCTGCATTCTATATGGGTGAGCAGGAGGCATGGAGAGTCCCAATAACTATGAGGAGAAAAGGAACCCACTCTGCTAATGAAGGCAGACCCTGAAAGCCTGGAGATGTAAGCCTTCCTTCCCACCTCTTTTCTCTTCTTTGCATTTGTTCTGAAGCAGGGAGGAACTGGTCTGCCTACCTGCAGCTAAGGAAGCAGATGAAAAATTGGCAGTTTCTCAGAGGTGGAGCCACTGCTCTCCTGGCATTGACTGACCAGTTCAGTCTCACTCCTTGGCTGTACATAGCAGAGACCCAGTGTCATGCATCTGTGGAACTCATTATGAATAAGGACTGAAAATTTAAAGAGATGGAGAAAGCACTACTTCTCTGGGTAGTTTATTTCAATGGCTAATCACCTTCACTGTTAAAAATCGAAGCCTTATTTCTAACATGAATTTGTCTGTTTTTAACATCAAGCCATTAATTCTTGTTCTGCTAGATTAAAGAGACCTTTAGTGTCTGGTATTTTGTCCACAGGAAGATACTTGTACACTATAATCAAGCAAGCTCTAAATCTTCTTTCTGAGAAGTTAAATTGATTGTGCTCCTTAAGTCTCTCAGGGTATGTCTAGACAGCAACTGGGAGCGAGCCTCCCAGCCCAGGTAGGCAGACTTGTGCTAGCTGCTAAAACTAGCTGTGTGGACTTTGGGTGCCAGCAGAGAGTCAGGCTAGCCACTGAGCTCTAGCCCACACAACCCCCATGGCTTAAGCTCTGGTTGCTAGACAACGTGTCCTCCACACAGCTAGTTTTAAGCGTGCTATCCTGAGCTCTGCTAGCACAAATCTGTCTACCCGCACCGCAAGGCTCACTTCCAGTTGCAATGTAGACATGCCTGCACTGTAAGGCATTTTGTCCAGCACTCAATTCATTTTTGTGGCTCTTCTCTGCGCCTTCGCTAATTTTGTGAAGCCTCTTTTTAAAATGTGGATTCCAGAACTGGATGCTGTATTCCAGTAACAGTCTAACCAATCAGCCACACAGAGGTAAATTCACTTCTCTGCTCCTACTCTCTACTCCTGCATATACATCCAAGGATGACATTAACCCTTTTCCCCACATCATTACCCTGTACTACTATAAACAGACTACCTTTACAGTTGGAAAACCTTGTTGTGTCCTGTCTTTCACTGAGCCTCGGCTGCCCTCAGTCAAGTACCGAGCTCTGTGCTGGGTCTCCGGCTGTACCACAATCTTCAGCTCCTTGCCTTCACTTTTAGTAGGATACTGACCACACAGCATCGGGCTCTTCTTCCCTCCGGCTCCTTTCTGGCTTTCTGATGCTCTGAGAAGTCCAAGCAGACCGTTGAGAACATGTTATAAGAAATTCCCATATAAAAACAAATCAATGTAAAGAAGGGCCATAGATCAGAGGTGGGCAAACTACGGCCTGCGGGCCACATCCAGCCCACAGGACCGTCCTGTCCGGCCCCTCAGCTCCTGGCCCAGGAGGTTAGTCCCCCGGCCCCTCCCCCGCTGTTCCCCTCCCACGCAGCCTCAGCTCGCCGCACGAGCAGTGGGGCTGCGAGCTCCTGTCGCTCTGAGCAGCATGGTAAGAGTGCAGTGGCGGCATGTGTGCAGCAGTGCAAAAGTTGGCTAGGGAGTCCCAGGGGGCAGTCAGGGGACAGGGAGCAGGGGGCGGTTGGATGGGGCGGAGGTTCTGGGGTGGTCAGGGAACGGGGGGGATGGATAGGGTGTGGGAGTCCTGGGTGGCCTGTCAGACTGTGGGGGTGTGGATAGGGGTCAGGGCAGTCAGGGGACAGGGAACAAGGGGGGTTGGATAGGGATAGGATCCCAGGAGGCGTGATTTGGGGAGGGGGAGTCCCAGGATGGGGCAGTCAGGGGACAAGAAGCAGGGGGGGGTTGGATGGGTCAGAGGTTCTAAGGGGGGCAGTCAGGGGGCAGGAAGTGGAAGGAGGCGAATAGGGGGCAGGGCGAGGCTGTTTGGGGGGCACAGCCTTCCCTACCCAGCCCTCCATACAGTTTTGCACCCCGATGTGGCCCTCGGGCCAAAAAGTTTGCCCATCCTTGCCATAGATTAAAAAAATAAAATGGCAGGTGAAATATTTATAAGAGCAAATGTTGAAGTTAGACTTGTCTCACTGACAGAGAAGGAACCCTGGAGGGTAAGGCAGGACAACGCTTCCCTGTCTCCTCCATTCTATGAAAATATGAACTGTTTTTCACATAAATAGCAGAGGGGAAACCAATTAGCATTACTAGAATACATTAATAATAGGAGGAAGACATATATGGTCTTCCCAGTATATTGTATAATCAGAAAACGTAGGGAAAATGATATGCATATTTGTAATATGACCTAAAACCTCACCAGAATTAAGGTTAAATTATATAAATTTCTTCTTAGACAGAAAAACAGCCTCATGCCTGTCTCCTCCTGAATTTGCATGACCATGCAAGTTCACAACTAGTATTTGGCAATTTCTGTCAGATCAGATTGAGAAATTTATATGAAAAAGCTGTTTCAAAAGTATTTGGCTTAAGATGATTTGCCATAATTGCACTGATTTTAAAACAAACGCAGTGCATGCAACAAGACCGTCTTTTCCCAGGTGTTTGGTCTTCAAACGTACTGTATCTTGTGATCAGTTCCATAATTAAAACCTGAATGAAGAAGCCCTCCAAAGTATAACATTTCACAATCAATTTTTTTGTCCATTTTAAAGGATCAAGAGAGACTGTCTCACTGACCTTATACAGTGGAGGTTTGTAGAATATCATGAACCAAAGTCTGATAAACACCTTTACCAATAGTGAACAGAACTATTCCCCTGGCAACTGGGGTAGGCTGGGAGAGGGCTTAATCAGTTTATGCAGAATGTACGTTTTAACTGTATCAACAATTAGTTTCTGCATTTATGGCTGTGAAGAAACCGTCTAAATGTCAACTAGCCAGTGTTGCCTTCTTGAGTGTGTGGATAGCCTGAAAAAAGGGAAAGTGTGAGATTCCCTCGTTAGCAATTTGGCTGGGGAAGGAAAGGAAACCTCTTCTTCCTCAAGGCCATTCACTGATGGTGGACCTATTTCCTGGGAACTTTGCCAGCCTTAAACCTGGAGAGGCTATTTACACTCTGATTGGAAGAGGTGATGGCCCATGGATTTACACAATGGTGGATCTGCAAAGTATCCAGCCTGAAATTCTCACTGTACAATACCACAGAGCAAGGCTCCATAATCTACAGGAAATGCACATCTTCTTTACAGGTTTCAGAGTAACAGCCGTGTTAGTCTGTATTTGCAAAAAGAAAAGGAGTACTTGTGGTACCTTAGAGACTAACCAATTTATCTGAGCATAAGCTTTCGTGAGCTACAGCTCACTTCATTGGATGCATACTGTGGAAAGTGTAGAAGATTTTTTCATGCTTTGTGTGTATATAAAAAGATCTTCTACACTTTCCACAGTATGCATCCGATGAAGTGAGCTGTAGCTCACGAAAGCTTATGCTCAAATAAATTGGTTAGTCTCTAAGGTGCCACAAGTACTCCTTATCTTCTTTACAGGCTTCCCCAACTCCTTGCCTAACTCCTGTATAGCTGAACCACAGTAGTTTTGCTACAAGACAGGCCTTCATTGCTGTAGAGAAGAGTGCAAGTTTTTCCCTTAATACTGCTACGTCTGATTTTTCACAAGATTTCATCCATCATGCTCTCAGCTATACCAAATCTTGCAAGACCCTTGAACACTTGCAAAAAGTATGAAAGTAAATCTTCTGACTAAGCATCTACTGGATGATTTATCAAGGGCTGCAGAAACTTAATTTTGTGTATTTATGAAATTTAACCTCTCAAGAGTCAAACTGTCCTCTGAGCCCGTTATTTATTCAATCTTAGCACAGAATCCCAAAGTGCTTCACCAGACCTGTTTTGTAGGCTTGCTTTCAAATTAAAAGATGTAGAACTTAGAGGTTATAAAAGCATACAAATTGCAATAGTACCATTTTATGGCAAGAAATCCTTATTATTCAGCTTCAGTGTAGCCAAACAGCCTATTACCACAAAAACCCCTTCCGTTTTATTTTCACCCAGTTTTTTTATTCTACAGAAACCCTCTTCCAGTTGGAACAATCTACACAAGTTCAATGAAACACTAAGTAAACAAATGTAGAGAGCAGTATGATTTACACTACTGTCCTAGTTAACCAAAAATACTAACTACATTCAAGGATTTTAGATTATCAGTTCTCCATAGTTTGTTAGGAAATTACTGCAGTATACTAGCAGTTGAAAGAATGATGTTAAGTTTTGAGTCACTACATTTTCTCTGCTTTTCATGACATCCAGAATTTTAAATCATGTAATTAAACATGGGAATCAGAAAAGGAATGTTAAGCAATCTAATTATTATGAAAGTATAGTCATATTGTTCAGAGCTCTGAGATTGGGATTCACATTTCTTTGCCTTTACAGCTCACCTAATTACCTATGTCACAAGAGAATTCTCAATACAGAAACATATGGGTCACACATTTTGATCTCTCACACTCAGAATTCCAGCTAAACAGATTAATGAAGGACACTAAGATCATAGGAATTGATGGGAAGGAGAGACAGACATGTGACCTATTAAAAGTATATACACATTTAATACTTTGGCCTCCCCAGGTTACCTATGTGTTTTCTTTAATTATTCTACCTTTGAATCCTGAGTTATCTTGCTTGGTAAAATACTCCACATATACTGTGTTATTTTTCTTTGAAGAGGTACTGATTGCCAATTATTTGGCATGTTTTCCCCTTAAGAGTCTCTTAAAATTATGGTTATTATTTACAATCTAATTACCTATATTAGAGAGGAATTTTAAATATTTCACTGGAATCCCTCTCATTTGTCCCTGTTCCCAACTATAAAGGAGAGCTGGTATTTCTACACTGTCCTTCTAAATTCAGTTACCTTTTACTCCCAGAATCAGTGGCATTCCATTTTCTATGCCTGTGCAAACAGCAACAGCAATATTTTACATATACTTATTTATTAATTAGCTTAATGGGTATCAGAACCAAACAAATCATTCTGACTGGCATGGACATTCAAACGAACTGCCAAAGCCAAATGCTTTTATTAGAACACATTCCATGATGCCTACTCAATATCTCAACATTCTATTTTTGTTTTGTTTCTTCATTGTCCTGATAACTTAAAATGTGTGCCATCTGAACCATAGCTGGTCCAAATGAAGACTTGAGACTAATAGTGAGACCGAGACTTGGCATGATTCCAATGGAGGAACAGGAATCCTCCTGTTTGCCCTGGAAAATCATCAAAAATCAAAGCCTTTTAAAAAGGCTTTCACAAACTCTCTTCACAGTTTCTATGGAAGTGGGCTTTTTTCCCCTAGCTCTGACAGAAGATTAGAAGTCTCTTCTGAGGCAGCTAGTATTTCAATTGCATGAATTAGCAAATATAACAAATGTCATCATCCTCCCTCTTCTCCTGATGCCAAAATGTGAGTCAACTAACTTGTCTGAGCTCCACCAGGCAGAAAAGCAAAAATCTACAGTCACTCCTACAATCTATGTTTGTAGTGCTGCATCTCTGTACTCTAGACATAGATGTCCCCCTGCAGCCCATTTCTTTATACACCGGACACTTGCTAGAACACGGGATTTGGGATCCATGCGTGGTACTGCGTTAACGCGGGGACCGCATTAAAATGAATTCCAATTAAACTAACTAAATTTCGGATCCATGGCTGCAACTGCGTTGTGTGTGAATTTGCGCTATATAGACGCACGTTCTAGCAAGGGTCTGGTGTACTACCCACTTCTGATACTAAAGCATCTACTTTTAACTAGAATCTGCTACCTGGAACTTTATTAATTTTCTTCTTACAATCTAGATATATTGTATAATGCATACTACTATAATCAACCTTGTTCCCAATGTTCCAAAAGGTTATGGCTATATAAACATAACCTTTCCTTTACTAATGCATGCTGCTTAGCTCCTGTTATGGTAGTAATGAACATTTTGCTAGTTTCTTCATTATTAAAGCTACAGAGGTCACATGTCTGCAGCTTACTAAACCTGTGCTCCCTGTCTGGAGAAAACTTCTATGCACACACAATTCTTGTCTACAGGAAGAGCACTTCTTTCCATGGTAACTGATAATTGCCTTCTTTCCTGTAAGCTTGGTGCAACCTTGTTTTCTAGCTTTCCAAACAATTTATTTATTAATCTGAGAAGCTACAAATCAATTTTAAATACTTAAAATTTCACAGTATTATAAATTTTTCCTGGTGAACTTATCACCAGGATGTTGGACTGTTTCACTTATACGTCTAGACCATTTGTGGTAAACAGACAAAAAACTGTTCCATTGATCAAGTACTTTTTTGCAGAAGGCAAGAGGAAAAGACTGGGTGGCAATGTTTACTCTGCATCCTTTGTTGAGCCTGGTTCTCATCTTACCAAATGAGATATCTACCATGAAGCCGCAGGCCACTCTGGAGAGTTTCTTAGAATCACTTTCTCAAAGCAACATTTTAAGTATGGAACTGCAATGACCCTGGGAACACAGACTAAAGGCTGTTTCCCTTAGGAATATGAAAAGCTCATCTTTCCAGTCAGTCATATTTTAATGTTCACCATTCCAGTGATGAACATTAGAACACATTGCAAGCACATACATAAAAGTAAAAAATAAATCTACCCACTTGACTGCAGTATAAAACTAAGTACTAAAGAAGCCACAGATAAAAAAAAAACAAACAAAAAACCCCCCAACAAACTATTGTAAACTCATGGACGTTTTCTCTCTCTAAAGCAACTACTGAAATGTATTTAGTAAACTGTGTGAAGTGGTAGAGATGAGAGACCACCACCCAGGCTTGCCCACATACGAACACACACATGCACACAACCCAGAAGCACAGAGAGAAACAGGATTAGAGATTTATTTCTGAAAATCAAATACAGAAGTGAGTTCACATGAAAAACAAAATTTGGTTCAGCATATAATCTTAACATTTTATCAAATAAAAAGTGAAAGAAGACGTGTTAATTTAAATGCTGAAAAATCGTAACAAGCAATTAACTTCTATATCCATCGCTCTCTCTATTTGATAAATAGAAAGACAGACAGAAGCAGATAAAATGTATCAACTGAGATCCTCACATAAAAATCTGAACAAGGTATTTTTAGGAAGACAGTGTAGAACAGTTGTAAGATCTCTTCAGTACTTATAGCTCTTTTTAAATAGACTTTTTACAAATGGAGCCATAGAATTGAAAAGCTTTCTATCCTTTGGGAATCTCAATCCACTGGGGAAAAAAACTTGGATAATCTCACCAGTACTGGACTGAATAACTAACTAAGCCTAGAATATGTTATATTGCAATAAATCTTAGCTTTACTTCTCTGTAAAGCTTAGCAATTTTAGAAGAAACTTATGAGCTAAGATATAAAAGGGAAGGAGAGGCTGTGTTTATGTGAAAACCTGAGTAGAACACTTGAGAAAAGTCAGGAGTATGTTTTATTAGCTTGGTGTTACATATGGTGATAGAACTTTAAAAAATGTAGATACCAACCCATTTCCTGCTTTTGAGTTGCCTTTGCTGTCCGTGCTGAGCTGAGAAAGGACATAGTGAGGCGCTTTGGCACTGTCGGCATCAAATATATCCATGCTGGATCCTTCACAGTCTCGACGTTTGATCCCTGGCCTCTGCTTTGGATTTCGTTTGCGTGATTTACGTGGCACCTCAGTGTTATCATTGTAGGAACTGGTGCTCATGTTACTGAAGTTGGAGGGGGAATCCTCCATCCACATAATGCAGCTCTGCTCTGATTCCAATCCACACCCTTCATCTTGGCAGGACATCTGACTGTTATCCAGCAAATCCTCAGGTGGTGGTGAGATGTACAGGACTGTATGTCTCTTCGGCATTGATTGTTGCTGCTGGACTGTGTTACTGGTTAACTGCTTTTCACTTACCCCTCGGTTACTTACCCCCACGACTGAGGAGCAGCTCTCCACTTGCATAGCCTTGCTGTCGGTGACTGAGGTAGAGTAAATGGTAGGACTGGAAGAGGTGGTAAAGGAGCTGCAAGCACCGCCCATGGAGGAAGAGGAGGGAGCTGAAGAAGCATCTGCGGTGTACAATTCAGAAGTAAATACAAGATACATGTTTGCACCTGTGCTGGCTATAGCAGTCCCATTGAAATAATGTGATTTGTGAACTGATTTTTCCCCCAAATGAAAATTTGGAATTTGGTAAGTTTGAAAATGTAAATGCTTCAAGCAATACAAGGTCTAAGCAATACAATATTATTTTTGAAGTGTCCAAATGGTACTTAAACTTTTGAACGATAATCAGTTACGTTTTTAGTTAACTTTAGGTCATAAAAAAGGCTGCAAGAAAACAACAAGGCTTTTATTGCTTCAACTGGACTAATCATTTTATCTAAAACAATGGAAACCCCAATGCAAAATGTATGCCTGTAGTCCACATTCAATGCCAATTAAACCATTCATTATTAGAATTTTTTGAAAAGACGGGACTGTGCTTAGCCACAAAATATTAAAATAAGTTTCTAACCTATGAAGCAGAGAACTACAGGTCATTTTTAATGCAGACACTCCCTGCTTCAGAGGCAAATCCTGGAATAAAAATATGAGAAAATAAATGAGAAAATTGCTGCTGATTCCAGATATCAATTATAAAATGAGAAATAAAATATAAAATCAACTGAACTGTAGGCAAAATGGAACTGGTACCAGTCACTATTATATGGGTTGTTTATTGTGTAGGTTCAGAACAGGGACAAAACTGATTTGTAGCATGCTGAGCATGGAAAGATAAAAGGCCACTAGGAACTCAGAGGCTGAAGAAGTCATCATCAGATTACATACCCCCATCTCCCAAGAACTTGTTAGCTGGTCCCCTTAAATACAGAGTTAAAAGCCATATAGAACCAATGAGGGGACAGAACTCTTAGTTCAATCATGCCTCAGTGTCCTCAGAGACATTAATAGAGTCCTACACCTATCTACCCACCTACTCTAGCAAAAATTATTTGACTAACTAAACTGGGAACCCTACAGATCAGACTGCCCTTGATACAGGAAAGCAGGACTAAGGGTTCAACAACAACAACAACAAAAACAGAAGATTTTTGAAGAGCAACAGGGTCATTTCTGCTAAAGATTTTTTTTAAAATAAATCTCTCAAAACTTGACATATCAATCAGCAAGTTAACAAAAACAAAGAAGGTTAAAATTCAAGTAGATGTTTTCAATGATAGTAGCTTATTGCAGAACAACTCACAGAACTTCACGTTTTACATCAGATTGTAAAGCCTCCAGGGAAGGAACTATTTTCTTCTGTTTTTATAGTGCTGACCACACCAAAACTCAAGCAAAAATACCACCACCACAAACTTCAAAGGGAAATAAACCTACACTGGAATATCATAGCTGAATAGTCATTATTGCAGTGCAAAGAGTAATATCTGCTGTAAGGAGGAAGTTAGGTTTTTTGAGGGGTTTTAAATCCAAAGACAGGAGTCTCTGATAAGCCACTCAAATGATGAAATTATTTCCATAATGTGGAAATTCAGTTAATTAATCTGTATTCTAACCATCTTGGACCACGCTGAGGAAATCTCAGAGAATTAAAAAAGGGGAAAACACAGTTTTTTGTTTAACCATGAAGTGAATATTTATTTTCAGGTATAGTAAAAATGAGAAAATCATACAAAACCCCAGTGTATTTGTGATTAAAATTGAAGCATCAGAACCATATGAAGAGTCATTAAAAATGAAGGCTGTTTTTAAAACAAAAAAAACTTAGATGTTTTTCTGTTCCAAGTGAAATGAAAAATAATCCCTATCTGTGGTTAAGTTTTAAGAGAAATTTACTTGTCAGTACAGTTTATCAATAAATTACTCTTTTGGCTATGTAGAAAGAGACTCCCTTCCTCCACCTCCTGGACAAGCTGAATGATACCAGTTCCATTTTCCAGTTTGTTCCTTGGTAAATGTAGTGGCTGAAGCTGGAAGATTCAGTCACTGTGAACTGCATTCAAATTTAAAGACAAATTTATCTGTTTTGTAGCATGCATTAATACAATGCTTCTTCTGTAGAAACATTTATAAAATTGGAAAAAACTTCTTCATCTAGATATTAATTTCAGTGACAATATTTAGGAGCTGATTTGCAACCACTTTGAGCTGAGAAATATTGCTACCATACATGTTTTTACCTTGTTTAGTTAGCGGCAACAGCATTAGTTTCCATTTAGTATTTGTAAACTCACCCACATAGAAATAAGAGTGTGCAGCACGCACCCGGCACGTGTGCTGCATGCAAGGTTTGCAAGTGGAATACATGAAGCATTCAGCAATAATGCTGCAGACTGGTCCTGCAGCAGAGCAACATTTTCCCTTCTTAGGTGTCAATCCATTTACAGATTGAACGAAACACCATGCACATCCAGAATGCAGAATATGAACATGTCATGGATCCCTGCCCATGACAAACATTTTAACTGGAATAATAAACAATTACACAGCTGACCCTTGAGTCACATAACAAAGTTCTAAAATTGGGATAAAGGTGATCAGCCTTCTGCAGAATTTAGTGTTAAGGATTACTTGTGGAAACGTTTTGTAGCAAATATTGAAGTAAACATTAAAATGAGCTCTTCTAAAGAAGCATTCATGTAAAAAAACAAAGCAGCAGAATTTAGCACTTTATACATGCAAGTCTGCACTGGGACAGGTATACCAAACGGTGATCATATCCTGCATCTAAAATAGAAACCCTAGAAACCCAACAGATGAATTTTATCTTAATTTTTGTGGAAAAAACCTTTGGCACGCGGCCCATCAGAGAAAGCTGCTGGGGGATGCGGGAAGCAGTGGCCAGCACATCCCTCAGTCCGCGCCGCTTCCCACAGCCCCCATTGGCCTGGAATGGTGAACCGCGGCCAGTGGGAGCTGCGACGGGCTGAACCTGCGGACGCTGCAGGTAAACAAACCGTCCGGGCCCGCCAACGGCTTTCCCTGACGGGCTGCGTGCCAAAGGTTGCTGATCCCTGATGTAAACAATATTATTTATTAGCACAAAGCAAAATAGCTGGTAATGCTGTCTGAGGTCACCAGCGAACAATATTTCAAACTTTAATCATAAATACTACCAGGTTCCAAAACAAATTTCCTCTGTATTTTTAAGAGAATTTGAAGGAAATATATATTCTCCTAGAGGGACCAGTTGCACTGTATTCCAATTAGCAGGGATGTCCTGTGTATTGGTAATGAGGGAAACAAATGGCAAGCTAAACGAATACTGTTTAATACAATCCAAATATCCTTCTCTTTTGCTATATATTCTCAAAAGTATTCAAATATCATCCGTTAATATGCAACTGTTAAAATATATGTATAGCTTTGTGAAGTTCAGTGTTTTTCCGATCATACCTCAAAAATATACAAACAGCAGCACGAGGATCACATCAATCACAGAAGCAGATCATTTATTTTCTGCCCTTATACAAATCCAGGCAAATTTGAAATGTATTTTTGAGGATAAATCAGTGTAAATGTGCTTTCTAAACATTTCAAGTTATGCCACTACTAAAAATAATGCAAGTATTTCGTGTTTAGAGGTAGAGCAAATAGGTCTCCAGCCAATTTATCCTCTTCCTAGTTTAAAGTGTAAACAAGTATGATCAGCCAGGTATGAATTCATGAAGTTACTATAATGAATAACAAATCAACATATTTTACATAATTTCATTGTGTTTTTTAACTCTAAATATATTTGGAGCCAGTGACAATCTATGCATATATCTTATACACAAAAGGGATCCCTTGGTTGAATATGCTGCATTTAAACATTCTTTATTCCAAGTTTTCAATACTTTAATCTTCATTGGTCCTGTTTTAAAACTTGAGAGCATTTTTCCATTTCCTACCTTTTCAGAAATTATCCAACAGAAAAAGAAATTGTTCCCAAGAATACAGGAATTGAGCATTGTCATAAATATAAAGGGAAGGGTAAACACCTTTAAATCCCTCCTGGCCAGAGGAAAAACCCTTTCACCTGTAAAGGGTTAAGAAGCTAAGATAACCTTGCTGGCACCTGACCAAAATGACCAATGAGGAGACAAGATGGGGGGGGGGGGAAGGAGAGGGGGAGAAACAAAGGTTCTCTCTGTCTGTGTGATGCTTTTGCCAGGACCAGAGCAGGAATGCAGGTCAGAACTCCTGTAAAGAGTTAGTAAGCAATCTAGTTAGATATGAGTTAGATTCTGTTTTGTTTAAATGGCTGATAAAATAAGTTGTGCTGAATGGAATGTATATTCCTGTTTGTGTGTCTTTTTGTAACTTATGGTTTTGCCTAGAGGGATTCTCTATGTTTTGAATCTGATTACCCTGGAAGGTATTTACCATCCTGATTTTACAGAGGTGATTCTTTTACTTTTTCTTTAATAAAAATTCTTCTCATAAGAACCTGATTGCTTTTTCATTGTTCTTAAGATCCAAGGGTTTGGGTCTGTGTTCACCTATGCAAATTGGTGAGGATTTTTATCAAGCCTTCCCCAGGAAAGGGCATGTAAGGCGTGGGGGGATATTTTGGGGGGAGACGTTTCCAAGTGGGCACTTCCCCTGTTCTTTGTATAACACTTTGGTGGTGGCAGCTTCTAACCTAAGCTGGTAAGAAGAAGCTTAGGGGGTCTTTCATGCAGGTCCCCACATCTGTACCCTAGAGTTCAGAGTGGGGAAGGAACCTTGACATGGTAGCAGAGCGGTGGGATTAATCTGAAATCATTTTGAGATTTTGTTTTTAAACCAGAAACACAGAAGGATTAAAAGAAGGATTTTAAAAGATTTTAAAGGGTTTTGTAAAAGGGGACAAAGCAACAAGCATAACAAAAGGGATTTGTCTTTTGTGAGCTGGAGTTTTCTCTACCTAAAGGCAGGGTAGTTAACCTCCTGCAGGGAAATTCACAAGTTCTTCACAGACCTGAAGAGGTGGGGTTTTTTTTTTTTAGCTAGGAGCAACTAGAGGGTTTTTCTGTCTCTTTGCCTGGAGACAAAGGTGTAAGGTTTTTTTTTTAAAAGGATTTTTCCCGCAGGCTGACAA